CAGCTCGTCCGGCTCGAGATGCGGTTGTGTAGGGCCGCAAATCGCCCTTTTGTCCCCTCAACAGCAATAAGAGCGGAGCTTTGGGCAGCTTTAAGGCAGTCGAGCTCAAGAATACTGGTATCTTCCATCTACCCGGATCCAGCCTCTGCAAAATCCAAACCCTCCTTTAGCCCGTACTGGGATCCGTTTCTGCTTTTGTGGGATCTGACGAGGCCACAACGTGCCCTACAGGAACTCGAAACTCCTTTCATAGCTGCCCACGCAGTCGGCATGGCGATAACTTATTAAAAAATAGCTGCGTGGTGATGTCACAGCCGACGACCTGGCTTGCTAGAACCGAGCGACTACTGACTAGATGTTCGTCAGCGCGCTGCCCCCGTACCCCAAGGATGCGACTAAAGATCCTGAAGTACCCGTAAACGAAGTATGTTTCACAAACTGGGGGGCACTGGGGGGGAAGTTGCGGAGGACGGTGTCCCCATGCCGTTAAATCTTCAGATCGCGCCAAGCATCACGGCCATCTCTGGGCAACATCGTCTACCAGCAGGGGCAGCGGATGGCTAGAGTTGTGCGGATCCACCGCTCGGATTTCTGTCAGGCCATCGCCTCCACAGTACGACATCCTTCGTTCAACTCGGACCAGTGATGCTCAGATGGTTCCTGGCAATTCAAAGCCCTTGGGACGATTCCAAGAGACTTCACCAAGGCTTGACAGGAACTTGCTGAGACGAGGCTTTCACTCGGACACCCACGAGGCCCAACTTATCCCAATAATTAGCTGGGATGCTAGTGCAGGGAGGCCATTGCTCTGTTGTGGAGAAGCTCGAAAAACGTTGGGTACTGCAAAGAAAGGCACATTTTTCTGCTCTTGGGGAGCCGCGCGGTGGTGGCACGGGAGGGGGGGGGGGGTTCGTGTGATTGGGCGCGAAGCTCGGGCTATTTCAGAGAGGTGCTTGTGATGGCATGATAAATCTTGAGTCCAGCCTGTAAATCCCTGATCTGGTGACCGCCCGTCTCGGCAAACGTTGAAGTGCTTTGAGTTTTCGCGGCGTTCTCAGCCAGGATCCACAATCCACAGGACCACAAGACCACACGATCCTTTCAAACGCCGCACGATCCTTGCTGAGAACTCTGCGGCAACATGGTGCTGGAACCAGGCCACTTCCGGCTCGGGCTGAAATGGGCTGGAGGTTTGGGGGGTCCATTTCGCGTTAAGGAGCTCCTGCTTTAAGGGGCTTCTAAAGTACGCAGGAGTTAGGGCTGTAGGTGTAGGTTGCTTGTCCTTGGTCACTGCAACCTCCTTGTGCATTTCTAGTGCTTGACCTTTGCCCAAGCTACCGTGATTAGCGCTGTCCTAGCGGTTCTAGCGGGAGTGTTCAGTCCTTCCCATTGCTCAGCAAGATCACCGACGAAATGTCAAAGCAGCTCAACATTCAATGTTCGGCCTGTTTACTTGTTGGGTTGCTTCATTTTGGCTTGTGGTTCAAGTTTGGGATTGGGATCTGGGTCTGCTTCTGAGAACACATGGGTCCAGCCGGAAATGCCAAGCACGCGGGCGGAAATGCCAGCCCCGTGCTCGCTGCTGACTGTTTAGGGTTTAGGGCTGCCCCTAGGCAGGTTTGCACTGGGAGGCCGTCACGCGCTCAAAACTCGTGCGGCATGTGGGACATGAGTTGGCCGACTTGGACGCGGCCAAGGACCAATGTGCAATGCAGTCCTCATGGAAAACATGCCCGCATGGCAGGACCGCAATGATGCTGGCTGCTTGGAAGTCATCCAAGCAACATGCGCACGTGGGCTTAATCACACACAGGTCGGACTTCACTGAGACGGGCCCAGCCTGTTGCCACTCGGCACCCCCTATGCCCTTCTCTACATGGATGTGGTGAAACTCTAGGGGAGTAGTTGAATCCACATCCCCAAACTCCACATCCGCAAAGCAACCGGAAGCCCACACGCAGTCGCAGCTGCAGCGTTGAGGGCTGACCCCGGAAGCCTCCTGCGTGTTGGCATCCTCATTTTGTGGCCTGTCGAAGAGGAGCGAGAGGGCTCCAACCAGCAGCATGAATGCCAGGGGAATCGTGAGCAATGCTGAGTAACCATGGCGTTGTTCCACAGGCGCCAACCCGAGAATCACGATGAGAAAGATCATGATTGCAAAGCTCATTGCGATAGTCCCCAGCCTGTCTTTCAGCAGCGGCAAATTCCAAACTTCGAAGCTCTTGAACGTTTCGAAATTTTTTCACAGCCTTGACCCTGAACACTTTCTCGAAGCAACCTTCGGTTGCTGTCGGCCAGTGGGACCCTTTCACCCTGCCAGCACATAAAAGCACACAGGACCACATGTACCCAGATCTTCCAAAACCCCTTAATTAAGGAATATACCCTACTTTATACTAAGGGTCCTTATTATGAATTAAGGTATATACCTTAATTGAGGGGTTTTGGAAGATCTGGGTACAAAATCGCAAGGCAGTTGGAGCAGCAGCCGCAGGCAATAGGAAGGTCTGCACCTGCTGAGCCCTACAAGCCTCTGACAAGTCACCATGCCCCTGCTGACGACCCTAATTTAGAGAATCCCTAAACTTATAATATTCGATCATCAGACAGGAGGCCACCGAAACAATTTAAAGAAAAGGTGGTAAAAATGTAAAAAAAAAGTAAATCAAAAAGGTGGAAAAAGGTAAAAAAAGGCAAAGGTAAAAAAAATGTAGAAAAAAAGGTAGAAAAAAGGGAGAAGCACCTCTGTTCTACCTTTTTTCTACCTTTTTTCTACCTTTGCCTTTTTTTTTTACCTTTTTTCCACCTTTTTGATTTACCATTTTTTTTCCCTTTTTCCCACCTTCTTTTAAATTATCAAAATCCCACCTGTCTGGATGACTGAAGATTACAACCCTAAACCCTAAACCCTAGCCCTAAACCCTAAACCCTAAACCCTAAACCCTGAGGGGAAAGGGTGGGAAGATCGGGTTCGCGCATCGCCGCGTGTCCGGTTCCGCACAGGTAGTGACACAAGCTGGATGGATACTGGACTCTGAGCCCACGAACGAGGCCCAAAGGCAAAAAAACGTTAGCGAAGGTCATACCTGATGGCTTCCAACCCTAAACCCTAAACCCTAAACCCTAAACCCTAAGATCCGCTTCATAATCTTCATACTTTGCCAGTCTCGGCCATGACACGCCAACATCCTCAGCTTCGACTGCCAGGAGTTTGAGACCGTCGCCATCCCCCGCATCTTCTCAACCTCACAGAAAAAATTAAACAGCAGTAACAAACAAATTGACTCTTTTATGAAAGTACGAATATACTGATATACTAATATAACAAAAATACGAATAGTATGATAAAGCAAAACATGCCATAAACATGTGAAAATGAAATAATATAACTACATAATCATATAATTTAAAACGATATACGAATGCTATAATATAATCATATAGCATAATCACTGAATGTAGTAATTAAAAAACCAGCACAGGATTCTTGAACTTTAGGGCGTCCTACACCGCTGCGTCGAGATGTGTCGAGGGTGGGAGGATTTTGAGCTGTGAGTTCCATCACCCAACGCTTTAGGGTTTAGGGCTTAGGATTTAGGGTTAGGATTGAGGGTTATCCGTGCATATGGACATGTGCGGCATGGGCCGGCCGTTTACAAGGTGGTTTGTGTTTCAGGTCATCTGAGACCCGCATGTCAGTCCCCCCCCCCCCCCCTCTGCTTGCCAATGCACAGCTTCATGCTCCAATTTAACTCCGAGATTCTGAATGCACTAAACCCTAAACCCTTGAGGGTTTAGTGCTTAGGGTTTAAACCCTCTGACTTAAACCCTAAACCCTGTTCTGGTTGCAAGTAATGGATGCTGGCTGATGAGGGCCCAGCCGTACATATTCTGCTGATACAAAATGCACCCTCAACGCTGAAACCTACAATAGATCTTAGTTGTCCAGTACCTAGGGGTTTTAAAGGTTAACCTTTGGGATTATAAGGGGAATATATTAACCCAAAAAGGTTAAAGGTTACCTACTCTACTACTAAGAGATTTTGAGTTCGGTGACAAGGAACAATGCGACTCTGTCGGGATGCGCCACCCCAGACAGGCCAAGTCAGCAACAAATATCCTAACTTCCTTCTCAGTGTTAGAAGAGCTGTGACAGGAAGGTTGCCGTGAAACACCAGCCACAAGTAACGACTGAGTTCTGAATACCGAGTCTGATTTCTGAACTTTCTGCGGATGCAAATGGCTGCAACAGCTTGGTGGCGTGGCAGAGCTTGCTTTTTTGACCTATGTTGGATCGGCCGTGTGCTGCTTGAGCCAGCTGACGCGCCAGCACAGTTTTTTCACGTGCAGGACATGCCATGAACCCTAAATACCATCCCTAAACCCTACACCATCCCCAAACCCTAAACCCTAAACCCCTAAACCCCTAAACCCCTAAACCCCTAAACCCCTAAACCCCTAAACCCCAAAACCCCAAAACCCCAAACCCCCTAAACCCCTAACCTTTTTTGCATCCGGGCTTGGGGAGTCGGCCGGGAATGGTCAGGAAATCGTGGTGACCCTAAACACCCTAAACCCCTAAACCCTCAGATTAAGGCATTCAGGGCTGGAGAGCTGTGAGCCAGAAGTTTGATACATTAGGGGGGGAGGGGGGGGGGGGGGTTCCCAAAATACGGGTACCCCTTGTATAACCCCAGGTACTATAGTCCAAAAAGATAGGAACCCGGCCCCATTTTCGGAAACCCCATATCCGGCAGCCAGAATGGGCCACTGGGACTTCCAAGCAGATTATGAGGGGAACCCATCTCTTTGGTTAGGCTGTGCCCCGTCACCTCCCTATGCCCAAAGCCTAGCCCTTCCCATTCGGGTTTAGGGTTTAGGGTTTAGGGTTTAGGGTTTAGGGTTTAGGGTTTAGGGTTTAGGGTTTAGGGTTTAGGGTTTAGGGTTTAGGGTTTAGGGTTTAGGGTTTAGGGTTTAGGGTTTAGACCCATGTCAGGAGCCTCCCGGAGCGAGGCGACCTCGCGCAGCTCCCGGAACAAGGCGCGCTCCTCCTTCCAGTAATCCTCTCAAGCAGAGACCAGGATGGGTTATGATACCTTAAAAGGCCCTTTAGAGGGTTTAGGGTTTAGGGTTTAGGGTTTAGGGCAATTATACCCTATAATCCCTTAAAAGGCCCTTTCTCGGGTTCACTATGGGGCTTTTAAGGCCTAATAGCCCATCCTGGGACCATCCAGTCTTCAGGGGTTTGATGGTCCGAAACTCTTAGGCCACGCACTTCATCATGTGGTGTGCATCCGGTGAGGGAACGGCAACGACCGAGCTGTCGTGGTGACAGCTGATCTGTTTCAAACACGAAGCCACGGTTCACAAGGAACAGTGAAGGTGAGCTGTGAGGCTAAAAAGCCCGACCCCGACAAGTAGCGGTCGTAAGCAGTTGCTGAAAGCCCTCCCGGTGACACTGTCACTGCTGCTACAGTTTTTGAGCATGGCTTAATGTTGGACCCTGTGTACCCGAATTCAGAATGAGTATCCTTAGTACAAATTAAGGTATATTCCTGAATTAAGAGGCTTTGGAAGATCTGGGCGTGTGATTGTTTGGTGGTCTAAGGTGGGGTCTGCAATTAAGTCGAGTCTTTCGGCTGTCGTAAGAAAATCTCGTGCGGGGCGCTTTGAACATAAATTGCTTGTCCCTTTTACTCTCAGAGAACCTCATCCGCAATAAAATTCCGGGACCGTTACAAAATCGGCTTTGACTGTTCCGGGCGGGGGGCTGGAGGGGGCCCACACATAAAGAGGGTGCAACAGTAAAAACTGAAGGCCTTAGGAATTTACTTCGGCTTCCGGATTTGCCTCCGGATTTTAGGTCACGACTCCAAGCCATACTGGGAAAGGTAGTGCAGGAAATAAGGGGTGTTGGATGGTTTGCAGATGCGGGAAGGCCGTGCAGGCTTTGCTAAGCCCTCCCGTGTTGTGCTCAGACGATGAGGATGACACCACTCTATGCCAGGGAGCTTGAAATCCTAAACCCTAAACCCTAAACCCTGAAATCCCTGAAACTCCTGAAATCCCTGAAATCCCTCAAATAGCTCAGGGTGCACTTGAATCAAGTGATGTCCCAAGCTCACCTCTCCAAAGTCCCGAGCCCTCACCCATAAAGGTCCCGGTCAGCATCGTGGTCATGGATCTGTAAGCACTCCACACGAAGGTAGGTGTTCTTTTTCGCGAAGGATCCTGGGTTGAGCACCTGGGCTTATAAGGTCTCTCCGCGCAGCTGAGGGAAGGTGGGGGAACTCGACGAATCCAATGGCACTTATTAGTAGCGCCTCCGGCGTCTGCCTATGCTCAGGACTACAACTTGCAAAAGCTTTCTACGCATTGTGCCGGCATACGCGCAGAAGCCCCAAGCAGTGGTTGGGACTAGATTCTCGACCGGGGCCATCAGGAGGCAGCGTCCCATTTGCGCGACTTAAGACCCAACCCCCAGAGCCTTAGGTTTTTTTTTCCACCCGCCTTAGGGTTTAGGGTTTAGGGTTTAGGGTTTAGGGTTTAGGGTTTAGGGTTTAGGGTTTCGGGTTCCAATCTCCCATGAAGTGAGGAGGCCATATGGGTTCTGGCAGCTTTGGCGCTCGCGCGATGCGCACGGGCTTGTGAACCTGGGTCGCTTGGATTCTCTGATCGGCTAGGTTTTGGGGCATTTGGGGTTGGTGTCGGTGCAGGCAATCCTCAGGGCATGTTCAGAGACTGGTTGAGGTGGCTGAATTTCACACTCTGACATCGACGTTCTTCGCCGAAAATGCAAAAGCCTCTCGTTGCAAACTTTTCGTGCGGCTTGTGTTCATGCTGTTACAGGTGCTTCAGAAATCAATTACTTTGGTACGGCTGTGGAGTATAAAGCGTTTCGGGTAAGGAATGCGCTGCTTGAGCAATTCTAGAGTTGCCACCATGACATGAAGTCAGCATAGCCACCGTGCATAACATCATCACCAGCACGAAAAGAGCACTTTCTTTGCGCGGCATAGCCAGTCTTTCGCAGATCATGATATTTGCTTAACACAGTTAGTGAAAGTGACAGGGACCATCTGTACAACCTTTTGCATCCAGGCCTCTTCGATACAACCTGAACCCGATTACCCTGAACCAAGGACAACACAAACCTCCTTTTTGTTGCTCAGGCTGGTTGGCTTCGCGCTTCGACTCAGACTGCATGCGCACCACTAAGTCACTAAGCCCCAGATAGGACACAAACCTCCTGAATACGAACCCTTTTACAGCTCAAAACTGCATGTCCATGACCGCAGCGTCAGCAAACAGCATGCGCAACAAAACCTACAAGCCTGCGTAGAACTACCATCTTCAATCGCAGATCAGATGGTCCTTGTTGAGGGTACGTACGGGTCTTGTGGGTGGCCGACTTGCTGTGCGGTCGTTTTTGTTGCCCTTCCCCACACACACACACACTGTGGGGTCTCCTCGCCCAGTGTCCCGCCCCACCAATCCCTAGAGTGCCTCTCCACAGAGAGTTCCGACCAGAGAAAGAGTCCCGCCGAAGTGCCAGTGTCCACAGCCCGTATAGCGTCCGGCCGAGTATTCTTTGAGCAGCCTCCCCCAAGGGGGTCGCTCATAAGGAGTCTGAAAAGGCGCCACCTGACCGGAGAACACAAAAGACGCCCTGTCGGGTCAAGCGTTTTTTGCTGTGCCGTCGCTCTTAAGTTGTCCGAAAAGGTGCCGGAAAAGGTGCGCGCGACCACCCAGCAAAAAATCCAATGACGGGTTCCACACAGGGCGTGCTTCTTTTTTGCTGTGCCGTCGCCCGGGACTCGCACACTCACGTCCGCCTCCTCGGCCGGGCTAGGTTTGCATATAATCCGAGCGCGCGACCGCACAGCAAAAAAAAAACGACACGGGTTTCGGAGGGGGGGGGGGCGAAGAGGGGTCTAGAGTGTTGCTCTGAGTGCTTCTCGTGCTCAAGTGTGGTGCTATTTGCGCACATCTCGAAGGTGCTCGGCGCTTTGCTCAGTGCAAACATGCCTTGGCACAACTTCATCGAGTCCGAACGGGATGTGTAACAAGAAGCACACGTCTGATGGTGGACACAGACTGTGCACGCGAATCTTGCCGTCCACAAATGCAACTGATGAGACAAGGTGTTCCCAAATATTGCAGTCCCCGGAGCCTATAACGATCCCAACTCCTATACGTCTGCAATCCCAAGCTGCACAAACCCTAAACCCTAAGCCCTATAGCCCTAAACCTTAAGACCAAGGGGCGGTGTGTTGCACGGTGTAGCGGAAGCGTGAGCTGCTTGGCGCTTCGAGGAGGTCCTCGCCCCCAAAGCCCTAAACCCTAAACCCTAAACCCTAAACCCTAAACCCTAAACCCTAAACCCTAAACCCTAAACCCTAAACCGTCCTGAGCCCTAAACAACCTTGAGGACCAAATGAACCCTAAAAGGGTTTATGGTTCATATGCCTTAACAGGGGTTGCAGTAGTACAGGGTATATGACCCCAACTTAAGATTCATTTGGTCCACAAGGACCCCTAAGCCCTTCCACCCCCTGACATCCCAGAGCTGAGCAGCCTCAGCCCCATCGAAGACTGCTCATCTCCGAATGTTAGGCTCACGCCTTGCCTAACTACGAACAGAAGCTCATTAGGGTTTGGGGTTTATAAGGGTTGAGGGTTTCGGGTTTAGGTGAGACAAGGGCCGGTCCGTGATCACGAAGACCACGGCTGCCTCAGCCAGGCGCGCTCCTTCACGCGTGCAGCAGACTGGTTGCCCCAAGCCCGATACGTCGCACGAAGCCCGAGTAGCCCCAAACATCGGGAGAAGAGTCCGACTCAGAAGCTTTCAGGAGAGACGTGAGCAAAACGTGCTCCATCTCAAGGTGTCATGCCACAAGAGATTCCATGGCAGGCGGGGGCTTTGTGGTTGAGGTTTGGCTGGCTTCTTGAACCGTTAACCCTCAAAGCCACCTCAAAGCCCGCCTTGCTCCCTCTGCCCAGGTGCCATATGGGTAGTTCTCCACGAGAGGATCCCATTTTAGGATCCCTTGTTAAAGAGTGCCGCCTTTTAGTGGGTACACAGAAAAAACCCCTAACTTGGAGAACTACCCATATACGGCTCCTATCCCTAAGCCAATTAAGCCAGTGTGAGTCTCAGCAGATCAGTCCTTGAGCTGTCTGCAGCACGCGGGGGACCACGAAACCTCTGGAGCTCACGTAGATGAGCGCTGTGGCTCGGAGGGAGATTTCGGGTTCATGGCTGCACTGGACCGATGAAACTCCGAAAGAAAGGTGGGCCATGCTCAGCAGGATACTGACCAAATATGTTGCCGGTGTCAGCGTGGACAGCTGAAAAAAGCTTGGACCAAGCAGCCGAACGGTCCTACTCTTCCTGCCACAAGCTGAGTATATGCGTACCAATCGACATGAACCCTATATCGCAGCAGACGGATGATCTTGTCGCCGGCACGGAATGCCTACCATTATGAAGGCTATCTTGCGAACCGCGGGTGTTTTGCCATGAGCCTCTAATGCTCTTGTGCTTGCAGGGCTGGAGATTCTACTGAGAAGGAATTGCCGAAACCATCTTCTTCGCAGCATGCAACACTCACACAATCTCACACAGCTCGGGCCGAGTCCACCATGGACTACTCCTCCCGTTTAGGGTCCAAACTTGCAGCCTAGAAACGCCGCTGGCCGGCGGTTAAAAGGTCTTCGTACATGGCCGTATAACCTTGAGCGGATGCCGGTAAGATGTAGGCAAACGGGAGAGGGTCTAGGGTTAGGACCCTAAACCCTAAAGCCTAAAACAAGAGGCAACCTGCGCCATTCAGTCTAACACGTATAGATGCAACATCAGAGCTTCGACAGGGGTTTGGGCTCGAGGCTCTGAGTGCAGCGAAAGTATAAACTCAGATATACTCAGATATCCTGCAGCAGCTGCGCTGCTGAGGGCCGCTATGTGGCAGGTCCCCGCCGGACGGAGACCGTGGAGCGTGCCGTTTGGTTCACACATACACACATACACACATACACACATACACACACAAATGCGCACACACACACACAGATGCACACGCCCACGCGCGCCCACACACACACACACACACACGGACACACACACACACACACACAGACACACACACACACACACACACACACACACACACACACACACACACACACACACACACACACACACACACACACACACACACACACACACACACAGACACACACACACACACAGACACACACACACACACACACACACACACAGACACCACACAGACCCACACAGACGCCACACACACACACACACAGACACACACACACACAGACACACACACACACAGACACACACAGCCACACACAGACACACACACACACACACACACACAGAGACACACACAGACACACACAGACACACACCACACACACACACACAAGACAAACACACAGACACACACAGACACACACAGACACACACACAGACACACACAGACACACAGACACAGACACACACCACACACAGACACACACACAGACACACACAGACACACAGACACACAGACACAGACAGACACACACACACACACAGACACACACACACAGACACACACAGACACACACACACACACACAGACACAGACACAGACACACACACACACAGACACACACACACACACACACAGACACACACACACACACACAGAGACACAGACACAGACACACACACACACACACACACACAGACACACACACAGACACACACAGACACACACACACACACACAGAGAGACAAATGCACACACACACACACAAATGCACACACACACACAAATGCACACACAGACCAGACACACACACACACAGACACACATAGACACACACAGGCACACACACACACACACACACACAAACGCACAAACACACAAATGTTCAAACGCACAAACGCACACAGCATGGGCGCACATGTGTTTTCGCTTAAACGAACAAATGTGCTCTTATTTTCAACACTGTAGCGCAGGAGCTTGAGAAAGATGTAGTGCAGAGAGGTCCGGGAATGTCGTCACCGCGGCAACGTCTTGTGGATAAGGCCCATGGTACTGAACACACGTTCGAACTACTGCCGAAACTGCACCCGGAGATGTCTACAAAATATCGAGCACGTCAGAAACACGGGCATGGTGTTTACTATCATTGAGACATCACCCATCCAAACTTTAAAGCCGCGCACGTCAGCAACACAATCCCGGTCTGCCAAGCCACGCCGCTCCATAACATTCCTTTGTTGCGAAGCTTGGCGGAATCATTTGGCGGCATAAATCAGGGCCGTGGCAGTTCATTGCCCGGTCTTCAACCGTGAGTATCCACGGCATGTGTGTGTGTGTGTGCTGCAACAAAACTGTTCGGTCTGGCATCGTCACAGCATGCTCCGCCTGCTACAAAACGACAACAATTGTAGCAGCAACAAAAACACCAACACCAACACCAACACCAACACCAACAACAATGCCGACGACACCAACAACAACCGACCAACACCACTATTGTTAACACCACCAGCACCACCAACAACAAAAAACAAGGAATAAGAATAAGAGCAAGAGCAACGTTCACAAACCAACCAAAAAAAGCTGCCGAAATTCACACATGCAGTGTCCTGCAGTCCTGGTGCCTCCAAAGTGTGCATCTGCGAAGTTGACCCTAAACCCTTTCTTTGCAACTGGGCTTGAGGACTAGCCAGATTCATCCCTAAACCCTAAACCCCTTGCGCCCCTTGAGCCCCGAAATCTCCGCTCGTCTTGGGTCCAGGGATCAGCATCCGGCGGGACCCCGGCAAAGCCGCCCGATGCAGTGGCAAAGGAAAACAGGGCAGCGTGCCTTCGATTTTGGATTGCGGTGGGAGCGAACCGGTGCTAGGGTTTAGGGTTTAGGGTTCAGGGTTTAGGGTTTAGGGTTTAGGGTTTAGGGTGGCGCATATGCTTGTTTTCAGACAGAGCGGCTGGTACTGTGGCATGAGATTTCCGCAAGGCATGTTCTTCAGGATTCGGGTTCACCGAGCAATGGAATTCTTGGCTGCTCTTAGCAGGGTAGCTATAAATTTAGTTTTTAGCTGCCTTCTAAAGAAACCCAATAAACCCAAAAAGGCTAAAGATGTAAAGTTAGAGTAAAGCACCACAATGAATTGATGGCTTATAAGTGTTGGTATATAAGTGTTTATTGGCAAGTTGGTGTGAGGGCCTGGTGGTCTTAGCTGCGAAGCCACCTCTGCAAGCAGGAAACAAAGTAAAGACCAGCACTTTCATACTTCGTAATTGCAGAACAGTGTCTTCAAAGAGACGTGTCAAATGTTGTAGCCGACAAGTTGGTTTCCAGCTTCCTTCCTAGCTCCCTTGTCATGCGCAAATACATCCGAACGGTATGGGTTTCAGCTAAACCCGGATATTTTCAAATTAGCCATGTGTGTCATAACAGAACTGGCCCATCCGATCCATCCTCATGTAAATGACAAAGAGGAAGATGCTATTGCATTGCTGAACTACCTGTGTTAAAAGGCATCATTCACATAAGGCAATGCCCTCTAATTGCATTATGAGGCTACCCTCAGACTAGTATGCTAAGGGAGAAGGGAGGGGAAAGAGAGAGAGAGAGAGAGTGTGTGAGAGCGGAAACCAAACAATGGGAAATGGAGGCTTTGAGCTCGTGGCACCGGGCTCAGGTGGGACCGGCGCAGACGGCTCGTCTGCCAGAGGCGGCAAAAAGACAGGAGATGGCACCTCCCAGCACGTTTTTTGTTTTTACTTACGTTGGGGGGGGGGGGGGGGTGGACAAACAATCCCCAACACTCAAATATGCGATTTGCTGATGACGCTGTTGTGCCAGTTGAGGGTTCGGAGGCCTCCACTTCCCCATAGTCTCACAAATGTCTTTAAGAACTTCAGCGTCCAGCGCTCAACAGACAGAGGGTTCTCCTTCTTCACAGCTTGCAGCTTAAGGGGCTCATGTCAGCGACTCAGGCACAACATGGCACAACTAGATTCCCTAAACCCTAAACCCTGAACCCTATAAACCTTCAACCTTAAACCCTGACGGAAAGACACTCCGGTACGTGCACTTCGCTTCCCTTGTCTGCCTCGCCGTGGCTGGAGCAGCGGAGACAGAGCTTGGAGCCTCGAATCTTCGAGAGCCTTAGAGCAGGATCACTGGTGAAGCTGCGGGTTTAGGGTTTAGGGTTTAGGGTTTAGGGTTTAGGGTTTAGGGTTTAGCTCGGCAGGTACAGTAACCCCAAGCTGAATGAAAAGTCAAGGGCCGTTACATCTCAGGTCTTAGAATCCTGTGCCTTTTGCGGGAAACGAAGCTGCTCCCAAGTCCGGGCCCGGAGACGTTGCATTCACTCCCAGTAGTTCATTAACAGGCTAATGCACCTCTCTTTATGGCCCGAAGGTGTCATCTACTGCCTTGAGCACTGGGTTTGAACAAAATATTTGGGATATACTAACAGTTCGTAATGGGGAATATAGTGGGGGGTACTATAATCCCTATTAAGGACTGTTAGTCTAAGGGAACATCCCAACAAATTATGGAGCCTGCACAAGCCAGAATATTTGTTCCAGGGCAAGTGGCGAGCACCATGCATCAGCAGTTGCTGTAAGCCCCTGTCGCGACACCTGCCAGCTTGTGAAGAGTATCAGCAACTGTCGCGGCTCTGGCCATTGAATGAGGCGTCTACGCACGTGCGAGCTTGCTGGCTCAGGCACCAGGAAGTCTCCGCTCTGCTGCAGCCAAAGCTCGACAAAGCACGCCGCAAGGAGCGCGACACCTCGAATTGCAGCCGAAGATTTCAAAGATACGTTCCCACTGCGCATCTGCACATGACCTGTGCATCAGACTGCATGACCGCAGAGTCCCCAAAAAACGCGTTAACAGACAGTATGAGACAGAGTCGCGAAGCATGAAGAATACTGCATTTGGCTGCAAACAGCAAAGCCAATGGTTCCCTGACGCGACAAACTGAGCTGTCGATGCAACGGTTGAAGACTCAACTGTCAAAAGAGATTGTGCAATCCTTCCCTGGTGTAACCCTGGCATTGCAGGGGCGAGCGGCTGCCGTAAACTGTCGCTGCTCTCTGTCGCACTCGCAGCAAGAGGAGGTGCCTGATCCAGGAAAGAGAAATGTTGGGAATGAAGCGGAGATGTTGAGATTTTAAGACTCTAAAAAAACCTATATTTTCCTTTAAAACGAGTGAGTTGTGGAATGAAAGTGTGGCTAGCCGCAGGTCTCCAAGCCGTGCCAGCCCGCACTTCGCAGAAATTGTCAATGCATCATTTGCGCCAATTTTACGGGGCTTCGAACTTCGAGCCGCAAAGTGGCTCCTGAAGACTTTCATCTACAAGACGCTTGGACCCTAAACCCTAAACCCTAAACCCTAAACCCGGCCTCCAGGGCTGCTTGGCGTGCGTCTTCCTTTGGCCCTTCATCGGTGTACTCTGCATACATCGGACGCACCGTAGCAGGGTTTTGGGGGGCTTGTAGGCTGTTGCACATTTCTTGTTGGTTTAGGGTTTAGGGTTTAGGGTTTAGGGTTTAGGGTTTAGGGTTTAGGGTTTAGGGTTTAGGAGAACTTGGGGTGTTTCGGACAGAAGCTTAGGAGCTTGTAGGTGCACTGCAACTGTGCTTCGCTTTGGGGACTGGCTTTGCGGGCCTCGCGTGAAGGAGGGGGGGGGGGGGGGGGGGGGGCATGAGCCCTTGCCATCCAGCATGCGCATCTGTTAAAGCTAGATTCGGTGCAGCTAAGAGAATGGCATCCTTGTCGGCATGTGCCGTGCGCACCCTGAACACCCTTACTTCAGCTGGTGGTGCCCGGAACGAGCCGGAATGATAAAACGGCTGCGTGCAGGTGTAGATCTTGGATGCGATTGCACCGGGCCCCAACTCCTAATTCGGGATGCCAGATCCAATGCGCTGAGGGTTTAGTTTTTTTGTGTTTGCTGCTGGCTGCACTGTAGCCCTCTGCTTTCCGAAGTTTTCATAGGAAAAGCATTGATTTCGCGATAGTTTTCGAACAAAATTTACATTTTCTCTCTTAGCTTTCTTACACAATCCTGGACTTTCCCAATGTTAGGAAAGCCTCTCTCACATACAAATCCTGTTTCCCTAGATATTCAAGCGCCATACATTCGATAAGTCCGGCTGCAAGATTTGCCTCGTTCACTTCGGCCACAGCCTTTCATTCAGGCCAATAAAAAAAACGATAGCTGAGAGTCCTGATCTCAGGAGAGCGTTGCTAGGATGCCGCCGGCTCGGAGGGTTTAGGGTTTAGGGTTTAGGGTTTAGGGTTTAGGGTTTAGGGTTTAGGGTTTAGGGTTTAGGGTTTAGGGTTTAGGGTTGAAGAAGCTCTTCGCAGACTACGCCCTTGCGAAATGGCAAAACACGACTATCGTTCCTCCGCAAATGCCGCACCCATCTACAGCGGCATCGTTGACGGCGGCCAGTGCTAGCTTAGGTTTAAGACTTCATGTGGCACGCAGACTTGGAGAAGCTTCATTGTTTTCTTCTGTGTTCTAGGCATTCACACGAACATCACAAGAAGTCGCCGAAACACCACAAAAACCCGCAGAAAACTTGCAGAACAAATCATAGGATACTCCCTGCGAGATCACCGAGGAGTCAGCCGCTCACAGAAAGAATTTCACATAGACCGAATCGCAACATGGATCACATACATATAAATAATGTCTCAACCTGACATACATACTAGGCCACATGCCCTAGACTCTAGACAGGACAGGGTTTTAGGAAAAAACGGGAAAAAACGGGCGTGATTCATGCAAGCAACCTCTCGAGCAGTGCCCCTTTTGATGCTGGCATCTGTCTGCTGTGCGTGTGACAGACACTGAATTCAAAAGATCACTTGAAGCAATCTTGCCTTCATGGTGAAGTGTCACCCCTCCTGCATGTCCCCTGTGGGACACGGGACTAACAAAATGACAGCAACGTCAAAAAAAAGAGAAGCCCTCCAAAAGTGAGCACTAAATGAGCCCATGGGTTTAGGGTTTAGGGTTTAGGGGAACTCTAAACCCTAAGCCCGAACCCCATGCCCAGAAGCCGCGCGCTCTCACGCATATCCGCCCTTGGCCGGTCCCCCCACGATGCACCTTCGGAATTCAACCTCGAGCTCGGCCTTGTTGACGTTCTTGCCTTGGATGGCCCTTGAAACCCCCTCTGAAAGGTTTAAGGTTTCGGGTTTAGGAGCAAGATCCTCTTAAACCCAATAAGGGAAAATGTATGAACATGTAGAACATCCCAAAGGCCTGCCTAGTTGCCGATGAAGGTGAGCTTGCAGATGCGCTCCTCATCAGGCTCCCAGGCGCGCTGTGGGGAGCCGGTGAAGGCCATGTGCACTGCCTGGAAGACAAACTTCTCCTTCATGCCTTGCACAGCCAGCACACCCTTCGTGCGGAAGAGGTCAGCCCCCTTCTCCTTGAGCAGCGTGCCAAGCCTTGGTCGCCCAGAAACCATATCAAACTCTGTCGGGTTGCCTACTAGAAGTAAGGGACCCCAGAAACCCAAAAACACACAAGAGGTAAAGAGGGACCCCAGAACCCCAAAAAGAAGGTAAAGGGCACCACTGAGATACACCAAGAAGCTAACGGACCCAGAACCCCAAAAAAGAAGGTAGAGGGTACCACTGGGATACACCAAGAAGCTAACGGACCCAGAACCCCAAAAAAGAAGGCAGAGGGCACCACTGGGATACACCAAGAAACCATTCATTCAGCTTCTGCTGATCCACCTCGCCCTTCACGTGGAACCCGGCGGATGTCACGCGGTCGTCATGCTGATGGTCCTTTGGGATGTTCCCCCTTATACTAACAGCTGCCTTAATAGGGATGAGAATAGTGGGTACTACAATCCCTATTAAGGAGCTGTTCGTATAAGCCCTAACCCCTAAACCCGAAACTCTAAACCCTCAGCCTAAACCCTCAACCCTCAACCCCAAACCCTAAACATCCCAAATGGTCCTGGTTGTCCTCCAGGAAGCCGTCGTCCATTTCGAGGATCTTATCCTAGGATGGCCCCTTATAAGAACCCTCTGAAGGGTTTAGGGTTTAGGGTTTTAGGGTTTAGGGTTTAGGGTTTAGGTTTTAGGGTTTTAGGGTTTTAGGGTTTTAGGGTTTTAGGGTTTTAGGGTTTTAGGGTTTTAGGGTTTTAGGGTTTTAGGGTTTTAGGGTTTTAGGGTTTTAGGGTTTTAGGGTTTTAGGGTTTTAGGGTTTTAGGGTTTTAGGGTTTTTTTTAGGGTTTAGGGAGGGTTTTAGGGTTTTAGGTTTTAGGGTTTTAGGGTTTTAGGGTTTTAGGGTTTTAGGGTTTTAGGGTTTTAGGTTTAAGGTTTAAGGGTTTAGGGTTTTAAGGTTTAAGGGTTTAAGGGTTTAAGGGTTTAAGGTTTTTTAAGTTTAAGGGTTTAAGGGTTTAAGGGTTTTTTTTTAGGGTTTAGGGTTTTAGGGTTTTAGGGTTTTAGGGTTTTAGGGTTTTAGGGTTTTAGGGTTTTAGGGTTTTTGAGGGTTTTAGGGTTTTAGGGTTTTAGGGTTTAGGGTTTTAGGGTTTAGGGTTTTAGGGTTTTAGGGTTTAGGGTTTAGGGTTTAGGGTTTAGGGTTTAGGGTTTAGGGTTTAGGGTTTAGGGTTTAGGGTTTAGGGTTTAGGGTTAATATTCCTGAGTATGATCCTCTTTAATTTAGTAAGGGAAAATATGAAAAAATGTCCCACAGGCCTACCTGGTATCGAGGTTAAAGGCCTGGATGCCGAGGATGAAATCCATGTCTACCTTGCTTTGCGTGGTGCGCCGGATCTTCACCGTGTCGTTGATCCTTGGGGGCCAAAAGAACCCTAAAAGGGTTCATGGCTCGTATACCTGAATAGGAATTAAAGTAGTAGAAGGTATATAACCCTTTTTTAAAGGGTTTATGGCTCATATACCTTAATAGGAATTATCGTAGTGTAGGGTACATGACCCCAATTTTAGGGTTCATCTCGTCCCAAGGGTCATCGTAATGCGCCTCTCGACTTCCACCAAGTGGGCCTCGTCGACAAGGTCGCACTTGTTCAAGAGGATGCGGTCTGCAAATGCCAACCTGGGTTGGGAACCAAATGAACCCTACAATTGGGACCATATGCCCTGTACTGCTATAATCCTTATGAGGGTGTATGAACCATAAACCCTTTTCGAGGTTGGCCCTTGGGATGTTCCCCCTGATACTAACAGTCCTTAATAGGGATCATAGTCGGGGGTACAATAATCCCTATGAAGGACTGTGCGTAGAAGGGGGAACATCCCAAGTTGCTCCCCCCCTTCTTAAAAAGATACTCCTGAAACATGATCCTCTTAAGTCCAATTTAAAACAATACAAAAAAATAATTAATTCAAAAACAGTTATAACAAATCAATAGATAAGTCAAAAAGAAACATCCCAACACCCTATCCGGCAACTGCTCCACAGCCTCGTTCTCGACGCCTTCGGGCTTCTCCTCGTCCAGGTGCATGAGCAGATGCTTGGCATCCACGAGGGTCACAATTCCTAGGTTTAGGGTTTAGGGTTTAGGGTTTAGGGTTTTAGGGTAAGCTGGGATGGCCCCTTAAACCCTCTATTTAAAAAAATATTCCCAAGTGTGATCCTATGAAACCCAACAAGGGAAAACACAAAATATCCCAGGGGCCTACCTAAGATTCCCAAATAGGATCCTCTCCTCGACCCAAAAACGGGTCTAGAACAATTCTCCCAACGGGGCCCACCTAGATCCTTAGTAGCCCAGTAACCATATTCTAATAAGGGCACCCTTTTTTTGGTTGGTTAAGGGAACCCAGAACTACTACCCCAATAGATTTTTTAAAAAAATCCCTATATTACCCTTGATAAGCAACATATATTCTATTTTTTCGGGGTTCTTAAGCAATTAAAATTAGTAGAAAACCAAAAAGGAAGGGTAAAGCGTACCACTGGTCCACCTAGGATTCCATCCAGCGCCAGGTTCTGCTGCACAAAGTCATCGGCGAAAAATGTCTGAGCAACCTAGTTCATGGTTGGGAGAGTATTAAAGAATTATAATGCTTCATTATTCCTTATTGGGCTTAAGTTAAGTACCCTTAAACCCTAAACCCTAAACCCTAAACCCTAACCCCTAAACAATGTAAGATGTTACCCAACTATGACCGAGAAACAGGGGCTGGGTCTGCCAAGCCAGTTGTCTCGATGATGACACCATCCAGAGGCTTGCCGCTTTTGGTCGACTTCTTAATCCTCTACTGATGTTGGAGACCCCAGCATAAAACTAGGGTTTAGGGTATGAGTTTAGGGTTTAGGGTTTAGGGTTTAGGGTTTAGGGTTTAGGGTTTAGGGTTTAGGGTTTAGGGTTTAGGGGAACCCTAAACCCTAAACCCTAAACCCTAAACCCTGGAGACCCTAGCAAAAGACTGCAATTCTTGCAGCTTCTTATAGGGATAGAAGTGCCCAAAAATTTGAACGTATTTCCAAGCAATTATCCCAAAGAATCATCTTCTTGAGGCCAGCAATGAGGTCACCCCGAACGGTACAGCAAATGCAGCCATTGTTCATCTCGATGACGTTCTCTTGGGTTGCCAGTGGGCCTGCCTCAATTAAGCTGTCGTCGATGCCAACCTCGCCGAACTCATTCTCGATGATGCCAATGCGCTTGCCATGGTTCTCATGCAAGATGCGATTGAGCAGTGTCGTTTTCCCGCTGCCAAGAAACCTTGGGGACGAACTGAGCCCCCAAAAATGGGGGGGGAGTTATGTACCCTATACTACTATAGTTCCTATTAAGGTATAGTGACCATATATACCCTATTCTACTATAATTCCTATTAAGGTATAGTGACCATAAGCCCTTTAAGGGTTCATGGGGTCCCCAAGGAACCCGGTGAGCACCGTCACGGGGATCTTGCTGTCAGGATCGGCTCCCTTCACGGCGGCCTGAACCTTCGAGAGCTTCTCCTTCAATGCCGCGTCTGGGTTCCCCAAAGCTTGAGCACACCCATAGTCGACAGCTGCACGTTTGTTGGCGCCTAGACCCACGAGGATGTCACCGCGGAGCACGTACATCTGTCTGAGGGTTTCCTTCTGCTCCTGCGAGATTTTGGGTTCGACCTCTTCCACGAAGGCGGCGGGGAGCTTCAACACTTTGTCCGACTCGTCCCCAAGGACCTTGGCATAGTCCTGCATGCAGGAGTTGAGGAACTGAACGGCATCGAAGAACTTTCCTTCCTTCGTCGCCGCCTGCGCCGATGCAAGGCCGTCAGTCCAACTCGCCGACGCCATGGCACCACAAGTCGTTTTTGGGTGTTGGACCGTGTTGCACTGCAGCCAAAATTGAAAGCTGCGGCTTCAGTGGTCGAAACGAGCACAGACGTAAGATCCCAGCTGGGTATCAAACCCCCCCCCCCCCCCCCCCCCCCTGCCGACAAGCCCGCACAACGATGGGCGCGGACCACGTTCGAAGGAACACCACCACCCTCAAATATGGTGCCTTGGCCCCGACGCGGGCTTGAAACTTAGCATGTTAAGGTCTGCGGGCTTCGGGTCTCGAAGCTTTGGAATGTCCCGGACAGGAAGCTCCGTACTTCTTTTCCTTCGAGCTTCACCTGTCTCAGGCTCAGAAGGTGCCACCCGTGTCGCAGGACTGGTACGAGATCGACTTGACGGCACGGGCCTGCTCTTCAGAGACTTTCCAGTTCAGGGTTTAGGGTTTGGGGTTTAGGGTTCAGGGCCTCTCTTTTAGGCGCTCCAAGGTTCAAGGCTGCGGGTAGACAAGGATGGGTGCAGGGTTCAACTCGGCAACTCAAGCTAGGAATAACAATTGGCGCCCTTCTTGGTAAACCCTAAACCCTAAACCCTAAACCCTAAACCCTAAACCCTAAACCCTAAAAACCCTAAACCGGGGATTGCAACGGAACCTGAACCCTGAAAAAGTAATCAGGGCCTACTCTGGGTCCAAGGCAATCAGCAGGCTTTCTAGATCCAGGATGGCTCTATCGGCTCTAGGGTTCGAACTATAAATAGTGGGCCCACGCGGCCTGCACATTCTGCACTCCCGTAAAACGGAAGAGTTGCGCCAGCTGCAGGGCTTCTCTAAGGCGGCAGGCTTAGCCGCAAACAGGGTTTAGGGTTTAGGGTTTGGGGTTAGGGTTTAGGTTTAGGGCTAGGGCCTGAGCGGTGCGGCGGTTGCTGATGGAGCTGGGCGACAGTGGGGTGTCTCGGACTGGGTCGCCTCAGCCCCCAAGCTCGTTGATCATCGATTTGGGGGTCCGTGTTTGAGGTGTAGGGTTTAGAGTTTAGGGTTTTGGGTTCCGAGCTTGGGGGTACCTTATTGGGTCCTTGTGGTAAGGGAATCCTACTATTTGGGGTCTACTTTTCTGGGTCCCACATTTTCGCAAACCCCATTTGGGGCTCTTGGGCTGAGCTTTGCTTGAGGCTGGGGCCCGCCATAGGGTGCCAACACCCTGACCTTGTGCCCAAATCCAACCGATTTGGGGGTCATAGGATGCTGTAGGGCTTCAAAGCCATCTTCAAATTCTCAAGACATCCGTCCGTCCCCTTTCCAAAGGCCCTGCATCATAAAACTTGCCCGACAACCTCTCCATGGCATTGCTTCCGGCTGGCGCCGCTTGTTCACGGACCACGCATCCGCAGATGGATACAGGTGCTTGCAGAAGAGGCAGATCCCACCTTACATGACATGCAGCACGGCAAAATCGATCTGCACCTGGTGCCAAAGCTGAGTCTTGGTTGCGCGTTGCATGTGCAGTGTTCACATGTTGAACTGAAAAGTTTGTGAACGGGGCCAGTCACCTCAACAGATGCTCCTTGCCACAAGACAAGTTTTGTTTGGCCACCCCGTATACTAGCAGCCTGGCGGGCTGCATTGGCTTCTGGTAGCAGGTTCCAAATGCTCGGCATGCGTGCGACTCTAAGCAACTGGTCAAGTAGTCATGGGCAACCGAAGCCATGCAGATTGCAACAAGGCTCAGGAGATAAATCCCACGATGTTGGGTGCCGCAATGAGGGGATCATCCAGCATCCAGCCGCAAATGCACCATACCTTGGATCAAGCAATGTCCATGGATGTTGTTGGGGTCGAAACCCGTTCCCGAAGCCCCCCCGAAAACACGCAAGACAGTTCAGAAGGGAAAGGACCGCGTTTAAACCACATCATGTTGCGGAATTTTGGCTCCGGCTCGGGGCTTCAAGACACGAGTGCTGCATGCTTGTCGAGGGCAAGATGCACGAGTTTTTTTTGTGGGGGGTGGGCACATGGCCCTAAAAACAGGGACTCAAGCATATGCTGTTTAGGGTTTTTAGGGTTTAGGTTTTAGGGTTACTTTCCTGCATCCTGCTCAATTGCTTCACGAAGCCCTGGCCCTCTTTCCTCTCCCCTACTGTGGAGTAGACTCTGGAAAAAAATATAGACTGTGTAGGTATAAGTAGCTATAATAGGAACCCAGAACCAAAACCCCTAAACCCTAAACCCTAAACCCTAAACCCTAAACCCTAAACCCTAAACCCTAAACCCTAAACCCAGACTCTGCTCTGAAGGGCTGAAGCACCAGAGGCCCTGCGGAGAGCGCCAGGCAGTGTAGGGACTTCGCCCCCAACAACAGCTCTTGCCCATGGGGTTTAGGGTTTATAGGGTATAGGGTATAGGGTTTAGGGTTTAGAGTTTAGGGTTTAGGGGTTTAGGGTTTAGGGTTTAGGGTTTAGGGTTTAGGGTCCCAGCTCCTAGAGTGTAGTCTCAGCCTAGGCCCTCCTCAGTCCCCTGAGCCGCGGGGCCAAAGAACTAATCATGTTTGCCGTCACGAGCGGGACCGGAATGGAGCTGCTATCCTTTGCAGAAGCTTTGGGGTTTAGGGTTTAGGGTTTAAAGTTTAGCGTTTAGGGTACGCATCTCAAAAATCTTCAACAAAACATGCAGAAGGGGGGGACGGGAGCTCCTGCCCTTGCAGCGCGAAGCAGGGGAGATTTACAAGAAAGAAGAGCACCGTCAACGGCCCTGGCAGTTCTGCTACCAGTGATGATTGCTTCACGGGTGCCTGAACATCGAAGACATCGAGGGTGATAGTGCGCAGATGTCAAACCACAAGCCGGTGCGAAACGCAGGCTACCCTAAACCCTAAACCCTAAACCCTCAACCCTGAACCCTGAACCCTGAACCCTGAACCCTGAACCCTAAACCCTAAACCCTAAACCCTAACCGCAAGACGGTTTGGAGCAGAGCGTCTCGCGTCCGGATGACGAGGGGGAGGCTGACCAAGATGGAGATGGCACCAATGAAGCTGCAGAAGGAAGAAATCAAGCCTGCCCGGTTTAGGGTTTGTTAAGGCCGGTTAGGGTTTAGGTGCATGCGGGACACGAACCTCTACCCGAGCCCCATACCGGAACACTCGACACCCTGAGCCCCGAAATTTAAGCTCTCTTGATGCAGGTTGCAAGCCTGAACCAGAAAGCCCGAGGCTTGAAGCCTCTGAAGCCACTCTCCGTAGGGTTAGGGTTTAGGGTTTAGGATTTAGGGTTTAGGGTTTAGACCCTCACACTCGCACAAGGCTGGCAAGGTTTAGGGTTTAGGGTTTAGGGTTTAGGGTTTAGGGTTTAGGGTTTAGGGTGTAGGGTGTAGGGTGTAGGGTTTAGGGTTTAGGGTGTAGGGCTTAGGGTTCCGGCTTTGGACCTCGGAGATGGGGGGGCTCAAGACTGAAGATGGACGTTGGGTTTAGGGCTCCTGCTTCATGGCTTGCTGCAGTTCCTGCAGGCTCTGTTTCGGAAGGCAGATGCATATGTAAGAATCTGTATCCCTAAACCCTAAACCCTAAACCCTAAACCCTAAACCCTAAACCCTGAACCCTGAACCCTAAAGATCCCGAAGCCTGAATCCCTGCACTTGTCGTCACTCCACCCTAGCTCGCTATAGAAGCCACGCCAAACCTTCGCCGAACTCCGAAACAAGGCAGCCTTGCCATTGCTGTGCTACCCTACATTTGCTTCTATAAGGCCAGCCCCCCCTCCCCCCCCCCCCCCCCCCCCAAAAAAAAAAACGCAAATAATAAGTAAACAAATAAATAAGACAGATAATAACCCCTATGTTACAACAATACTATAAGTAAGAATATCTCTGTTGTTTTTTTGAGGGACTCTGAAGCAAGTAGTAGTCTAGGCCGCGGAGTGACCTAGGAATAACAAAGGTGCCCTTTTTGGTTTTAAGGGGATTGTAAAGGGACCCCAACCCCAAGAAAGGGGAATAAGGGCCTATTCCGGGTCCTATAGTAACTAGTGGTCTACCTCACAAAGGCCGGTGGCCTCTGTTACCCTTATACCTTACTACAGCCCCTAAGCTACCCTAATAAAAACCCCGAAGATAAGGCCCAAATAAAACCGAACCCCTATACTTAAAGAGACCACCTCCTGGTGTGTGGCTCTGACTGTGCCCGGCCTGTGAGGAACAACGCCCGCTCGATCGGAAGCACGGCCAAGGAGCAAAGCTGAAACAGCACCAGCCTTCTTTCGTTTCGGGTTTAGGGTTCAGGGTTTAGGGTTTAGGGTTTAGGGTTTTGGGTTTAGGGTAACCTAGGAATGAAGAGGGTGCCATTGTTGGCTTCAAGGGAGTTATAAGGGAACCTGAACCCCAAAAAAGGGAATAAGGGCCGACTCTGGGCCCTTCTATCTTAGGGTAGCTACATGGTCCCCTAGTATGGGTCCCTTAAAAAGGGAACCCCTTATACTAATGCACCCCTTCTATGGTCTTATCTGCCCTATTCCAGGTGCGACGTGCCCGGAGATTAGGGTGAAGGAGCTTTGGGTCCAGGGCCTGAACGTCGGGAGCTTCGAAAGGTTTCCGTACTCGACTTGGATCCGCACCCGAAACGCAGCACCCAACACCTCCCTGATCCTACATTGACATAGATCCCCATGTCAGGTGGACGTGCCGAGAGCCTCCGGAAAGAAGAAGCTGCGCGGTTTTTTGCATCCGGCTATGATGTCCCGGCCCTACACCCTTTTGCATCCGGACTTTTGTGGGTGCTGCCAGAAACTGCCCAAGCACAGGCTCCCAGCCCTACACCCTAAACCCTAAACCCCTAAGCCTGTTCGAGTTGAGAAGTGGATCCCGGGAAGCTGTCCAGCCAGATGGCCCAAAACAATGTTGACTGTAGGGCTCAGCAGGAATGAAAACCTCACCCCTCCAAACACAAGAGGTTTCTCAGCAACCTCCCTCCAAGTTAAGAGTCTGCTTTTTTGTTTTTTTTTGCCACCCGCCTAGCAGACCCTCAAGGATCACTCCGCAGGGAACAGTCTGGTTCTACATGGTTCTTCCGGCAAAAAGGGCCCCGACGCAACCCCTAGGGCTTAGGGTTTAGGGTTGGTTTAGGGTTTGGGGTTTAGGGTTTGGCTTCTAGAAGCCCTTTTTTGAACCTGGAAGCTGCTTCATGCCAACCCTAAACCCCAAACCCTTTAGTGCTGGTGGGACGCTTGGCAAACCAATAGAAAACTAAGTCGACTGCGCATCTACAGGAATCTTATCTGACGCACGATCACCGTCAGGCACACTGTTGTGGCCGTGGTGCATAATGACAGCGCTCATGTATCGGTACAGGCCGCCCAAGGAATGGTCATGCTTGCCTCAGCATCTCGGGGTATATACATGCGTAACACACACACACACAGAGACACACACTTTGAAAAAAAACATTGCTGTAGGATTTCCACGGATTCCATTGCCAAGCTGCAGTTTCGATAGAAGGTGATGGAGTAGTAGGTGCCCAAGACCTCATCTCTCCCTTCCCTGATGACACGAATGACACGATGAGATTAAGTCGCGAATCCGACAACCCAGGTGGCACGTTAGAGAAAGACCCTTCGTCGCCCATGGACACAGATGACGCGGGCATGTGTACGCATCCGGAATTCTGAAAGGGTTTAGGGTTTAGGGTTTAGGGGGTGGCGACTCGCAAATAAGTATGCGCTGCATGCTGTGCTCGGACTCAGCAGTCATGCGACCCTTGACTCCCAGTCTCAACATCTCCCAACCAGGCCTCGACCCTGAACTCCCTAAACCCTAAACCCTAAAAACCCTAAACCCTCAAAACCCTAAACTGCTCAACGCTGAGCACTGTCGTCTGTCCAGCGGCTGCCCCGAGGCAGTTCGAGTGCACCAGTATCCTTAAATCAGAAAGAACAGGGCCCAGGGTGGCCCATTCCAAGGGCTCACAGGTTTAGGGTTTAGGGTTTAGGGTTTAGGGTTTAGGGTTTAGGGTTTAGGGTTTAGGGCTTCAGGGAGGCTTTCCACTTCGGTTAGGGCAATTTTAGTCTCTGCAAGCTGGGCCAGAGAACATGGTGCAGCAGTGCAACTCCAGACTTCACGCTGCATGAAAACTCTTGAGCACTGCCGATCTAACCTCCTCCGAGATGCAGGAACCCGCTCCTTTTGGTCACGACAAATGCGAAGAGACCTGCAGCGGGCTCATGAGTCAATCTGCGAGCTTCGACGGTCGGTTTTACCGCAGGCTGGAGTTGCTAACAGCTCTGATCATCGAAGGCGCCTATACATGCTGTTGAGCCGCGTTGCGCTTTAGACGCTCACATAAGCTGTCAGGGTACTATGGGCCTGAATAATTCTAATGGTTGCTTTTTTTTTTTTGGGGGGGGGGGGGGGGACGTGGGGGTTTTGTAGTGTATTTATATGGAGGCCCATAAGGGAATACCGTTGGTAATTATTCCGACCGCAAGATTGGGTCTTGCGAGGAGCCATAGTAGCACCACTGCCAGCCACCGAAAGCGATCGAGACCTCCGTTTGGCAGGAAGGTGAAGGTGAAAGACTCAAGTGCAATAAATACACTCTCACTCGCTCACACAACTTCTGACACAGACACGGACACAGCGCACACACACACACACATGTTCTTCTCTCCCTTCACTCTTCACTCTTCACTCTTCACTCTTCCCTCTTCCCTCTTCCCTCTTCCCTCTTCCCTCTTCTGTCTTCTCTCTTTCTCTCACTCGCAGATGCGATTGGCAGAGTTGCACTCGCAGGTACTAAAGTGAAAACCCATCCAAAGTTCCCGGCATTGACCATGCATGCGACTGAGACATGCCTCTTGCTTGGTTGGCATAAACCCTCTCTGGATCCATGCCCGGGGCCCAGGGTCCATGCAGGTTCCGTCACGTACTCCTATGTCCCCACAACCATGGTACCAGGCGAGAACCAGGATCCGAACTGGAGAAGAGAGAAATTCGCATCACTAGAACCAGCACTGAACTGCTGAACTGCCTATCACTTGCGCTAGTTAAGCACCAGGAGCCATACCTTGGACCCTTCCAACAAGCCACCAAGCCGTTCACGGTGGAAGGCAGCTTAGCTGTCACCACAGCCTGCCCCCCAAAGTCCCTGAGGCTCGAAACTCAGTTTGGCAGTTGGCTCCGAGCCTCCGAGCCTCAGCACCCTTATCCCAAGCCTGAACTGACTAAACTCCTAAGCCAAGTGGCATAGGGTGCTGCATCGGCATCACCTGTGCAGCGCTCCTCCTCCCAGCGCTGCACCTGGTGTGCCGAAAGATTCTTTGCTTTGCAGTTTGTCTGGGCACAGTAGATCTACTTTCGTTCCAGGCACACCCCAAACTCCACTCCCCCCTTCTAGCTGTAGCTGCGAGCCTTCAAGGCGCATGCCTACGAGGAGTCTTGCTCAGAGTGGCACAAAGCACACCCAGCCTGATGGTATGGGCTGATCTGAACCAGAATGTTGCCCGCCTTGGAGAAACATGAGGGTTTACGAAACTTATATAGTCCCCTAAATAATTGGATTCCCTGATAATAAGGGCCCCAAGTGAGGTACTCCTAATTTCGGAAACCCCACAACTGTCCAAACTTGGCTTCCGATCCCGCGTCACACACTCAGCCTTGCCTAGCCAAAGCTTGCAATGACCGCACCGCCCTCTCCCCCCGGACAGCAAGGGGGTTAGGGTTTAGGGTTTAGGGTTTAGGGTTTAGGGTTTAGGGTTTAGGGACACCCTCCTCAACACCCAGCAAGCTGGGTAGCACTTCGAAGCTAAAAACGTATCCTCCCTGCAAAGCCTCACGGCCTTCAACGGCCTTCATCTTCCCAACTCTCCGGCCGCCAAGGCGCCATGCAAAGAGCCTCCGGTTTAGGGTTTAGGGTTTAGGGTTTAGGGTGTAGGGTTTAGGGTTTAGGGTTTAGGGTTTAGGGTTTAGGGTTTAGGGTTTAGGGTTTAGGGAGGTCTCGAGTTCTGTGGGCACGCAACAGAAGCCTCAACCACTAGGCGAAAAAGCGCGCAGGCTTTGCATCCTGGCGCGCTTGCCTGCAAGAACGAAGATGAAGCATTCACACATCTACAGTATACCCTAAACCCTATAAACCCTCTATCGTAGAAAAAGCGTGGCCCGCATCGTAGCGGGATTTGGGAGATCAGCCCTGCAATCACAAAGCCAGTCTTCAAAGCCTGGCATCCAGCAGTGACTTGCAAAGGCATGAAGTTTCAAGAGCCCTCAAGCCTTCAACATGGACATGAACGTGATGCCCGCAATGAACTTCTCGAGTCGCCCCAGCCGGGGCCACATGCGCGACACCTGTTGGAGTTGAGGGTTCGTGAAAAGTCTTTGGTGTCATTTGTGGCTTCGGGCCTTCTGGGGTAAGAACTGCTCGAACTGATTGTGGTAGGAGCTAGGAACTATTCCCCTGTTAGACACCTCAGCCATGAACCTGTCCATGCTGCTAGGATTGGGCCCTGATGCAGTTGTGTCAGCATCCAGCACTGATGTTAAGCCACGGCACATGCCATGTGTGCCACTTCGGACCTGATGAGTACCAGAGGTTTAGGGTTTAGGGTTTAGGGTTTAGGGTTTAGGGTTTAGGGTTCATCTTGCAGAGTCGTGTGGGGCCGTACAGCGCTAGAATGTGTGACGCCTCACACATCCATGCCTTTTGCTAACATGCCCCGATTCACTGGCGAAAGCAGCGCTTTCGCGGCTCTGGAAGTTTTGGCATTCATTCCACATGCAAACATGCACAAAGAAGTTGACATGAACAGCTTTCTCGTGTAGCTGCGAATCCCGATGAGGTGAGATGCATCTCTGCACTTGAGACTAGGAGAAGGACAAAGCTTCTTGACGTCTTGGGCAAACAACCAGCCACGGACACAGCAAGACGAGTCGAAACCAGGCTCCAACTCAACTAAAGATATTCATATTGTGCATCATGACCCGCCACCCAAAGCCCTCCAAAACGCTTCTCAGCTTAAGGCCCCCACCCCGAAGGTGAACGCTGGCGTTGCTGGGCACCGGGGTAGGGAGACCTAGGCAGAAGGTGATACGACACTTAGAGGTTCATGGTACTTATTAACCAATTATAGCTGTACTTATAACCCACTTATAAGCCCCTTCAGTGCCCTAATATGGTTATAAGTACAGATAGAAGTACAGTTCTAATTGGTTAATAAGTACCATGAACCTCTAAGCAGGCAGAGCCAAGCCGTAACCCCTGTGGTATCTTAAAGCCACGACAAGGGTGGGGGCTCTTCTGCAAGACAAACTTGACTGTGGCTGCAGTTACGTCTCATGCCTCCTTCCCTACCGCCAGAATAGAACAAACTCGAGAAGGAGCGCCCATGGCAGGATTTCTCGGCTGTGATCGCATCTTGGAGTTTGAGAGCTTTTTGAGAGCCTATGGCCTATGAGAGGGGGCCAACAGCAAACAATATGTGCAATCTTGAGGTTGTCCAACCGTCCAACCAGGTGACTCGAAGCTTCGGCACCACGCGCAGACACCACCTTGCCAACGTTCGCTCATGATAGTTGGTTGTAGGGTGCAGGTTTCATGGCCTGTGAGATTTCGTGAAGACTGGATGCAGAAGCTAAAAAGTGCTCAAGCGGTGGGTTATGGTGGGTTCCACACTCACATGACGGACTGAGCCCTGCCAGCCTGTGCAGAACAATTGCTCAAGCAAAAAGCTACAGCGACAGCCCGTCGTTTTGACGAAAAGAAGAAGCCTATTCATGATATCGACCCCCAGGCCCGCAATCCTCGGTCTCCACCTATTAGCTTCACAACATGGACAGAACTCATCCGCAAACTGCCACAGGCCGGGAAGGCCTCGTTTCCGTGTTACATGTTGGGTCTATAGGGACCTGTTACCCTAAACCCCAAACCCCAAACCCTAAACCCTAAACCCCAAAGCCAACACTCAGCAGTTGCCTGTGCCGGGAGCAGTCGCTCCGCCGAGCGCTTGGCACTCTCCACCGCGTCCGATCTCAGCACCTCTTGCGGCAGGGTTTAGGGTTTGGGGTTTAGGGTTTAGGGTCTCAACTTGGGATGCTCTCTATTGTAGCAGCAGCTCCTTAATAGGGATAATAGAACCCCTTATTATTTTAGCTAAGTCAATCTCACCCCCTACTACAATCCCTACTAAGGACTGTTAGTATAAGGGAACATCCCAAGCAAGCTGCATTAAAACCAAAAAAGCTGCAGTTACTCAGGCTCCAGTAAGGGATTTGATTCTTCAAGGGGGGTGTCTGGCCGCGAAACTGCACAAAACGTCTCTTGATTCTTTGCGGTTGCATCAGGTTAGGGTACTCGCCGTCGGCCCTTATTCATGAAGCTGAGGAATGCGAAAGCTTAACTTCGATGAGTGGAGAGTTCGCTTACTTTTTGCTGCCCCGCATGGATCGTACACTACACGTGTCGCGTCAGTTGGCAGCAGTAGCATGAGGAAGGGGCCATACCAGCTTTGATTGCAAGATAATGGTAAACCCTAAACCCTTTGTGCCCAAACACCTAAACCTGCCCTGTGTGACGACCCCCAACAATGCAGCCTGTACAAGGTTGCAACTTGGCACTTAAGGGCCTTGGGCATAAACCCTAAACCCTAAACCCTGAACCCTGAACCCTAAACCCTTCCTCCTGAATGCCCTGATTAGGCCAATCCTAAGCCCGAAACCCTAAACCCTAAACCGCGCAAGATGAAAGTTTGCCCAGGCCCAGGCCACGCCTGGGCAGTGCCGCTTTGAACAGCTGTTGGCACGATGGCCGCGTTGAGCTGTGCTGGAACCTTCAAGGGCAACATGATATGGTGAGTTCTCTACATTAGGGTCCTTTTCTTAGGGTACCCTAAGAGGGGCCGCGTTATAATAGAGGGCCGCAAAAGGGGACCACAATTGAGAGAACTCACCATAGGTAGAGAGTAGAGTTTGTAACACACATGGTTAAGAATTGATGATCTTGAGGCGGGACCAGCTGGGCCAGGGATGGGTTTAGGGTTTAGGGTTTAGGGTTTAGGTTTTAGGGTTTAGGGTTTAGGGTTTAGGGTTTAGGGTTTAGGGTTTAGGGTTTAGGGTTTAGGGTTTAGGGTTTAGGGTTTAGGGTTTAGGGTTTTGTTCTCCTTTGCTTTACCGCGGCGAAAATCGTAACAAGGTTACACATGCAAGCTTGCAGCATGGAGGGGTGTCTGAGGGGCCCATTGCAATCCCCAATCTTGCAGCCTGCCTGAGTTCGAAGTATTGCCGACAACCACTCTCTATATGACCGTCATCATTCTTACTGCGCTAAATCTGGCCCCAGAACACGATGCAGCACAAGAACAGATGCTTTGGCCTCGCTTGCCACGGGTGCAATCGTGGCTGGCTGGCGCGGGAGACTGGACAGCTGAGCCTGCTTCATGAGCGGGGCTGGGCGGTTGAATTGTTGGCGAGCGTGCGTGCCCAAATCCCTATCCGTGGAAACTAAAGCACATGGACTGGAACACTGGCCTAGCAGAAACAGGTGCAAGAAAGAGTCCCTACTGACAATTACTTCCCCACATGCTTTAGCTATTATGGGTTCCTAACAAAGGAGGGGGGGCAGCCTGGGTGTGGGGTGTATGAAAGATGCACGCAGCACACAAAGCGAATGACAACCAGCGAAGTCACGGATGTTGTAGAAACAACAACAAAGACATGAGTATAATTCGCATAATACACAAAAATATCTCAAAGACACACCTTCCTGTTTTGGTTGGTAGATTGTGCAACAAAGCGGCTGAGGGCTTGGATTTCGTGTTGCCGGATTGGGGCACTCATGCCAGGATTTTGTGCGCTTGCACAGGCATACAAGGCTCTGTCTGCGAAGTTCCACGAAATGATGGTGTGAAAGCTGGAGATCCGCTCAGCTTTGCCAAACGACTTTTCAGTGTACACAACAAAACTAATACTTCAGATCCCTTAAGACGCTCAATCCAGTCCGCGAGGTCACCCAAAATCGATGATGTGAAACATATCGGTATGAAAGTCCAAGCCGCGTCCCGTTTTGCTTGTCTTTCAGACCAGCACAGCAGTGCAATTGAAGTTGCCGGCAGTGAACTCCACATAGTCTCCGTGCTTTAGGTCAGTAGATTGCCAATCATCAGGCTCCCCCGTAAAGGATATCCATGCCCAGGGCATGATCTCTGGCTGTTCAAGACAAGACTTTTCGGAACAGCGAGCATGAAAATGGGTTATACGACTGCAAACTCTCAAGCTCGTGCTGGCCAAGCATGGTAGTGGATACTGTTTACCTATACATAATTTCACCGTTTTGGCCTGCTCGCGGCTCAGCTGCTAAACACGAATTCTTGGTTTTTAAGTGAAGGCCAAACAATTAGAACTTTTAACTTTACAAAAATGTTGTAGGTAGGACGGCTTGCGTGAGGGCTTCCGAGGAACACTAGCCCGAGCCCGAGCCCTAAACCCTAAACCCTACACCCTAAACCCTGAACCCCTAAAAGACATGTGTTGCCAAATCGACTGGGATGGGCATGTGGCTTCACATCGTGTCCCGAGGGGTATTCGGCAACACAGGGCCTCGACCGCACAGGGGCTGTCTATCCTAGAACGCTTCCACCCACGACTACTATTTGCTTAAGAACCCCAAAAGAATAAACATTAATAATCCCTATATTACCCTCAATAAGGAAGAATGTTTTTGAGCATTTTTCCGGTGTTCTTAAGCAATTGGTCGAAGAGGGTGTTCGGGTTCTTGATTCCAGAAGAGTACTACAAAATGGACCCTCTTGGTTCGGTCTACAGAGTCTACGGCATATCACTGGCATGACACGACTGAGTAACGCCGAGACGCTGAGAAAGAAGTCCGCTTGTCGTGCTGTCAGAACAGACAAGCTGGATGAACTTTTCTGTTGCAGAAAACTTGGTTTGGCGTGTTTTCTTCAAGAACTGATGCTATGTATTGCTTGAATATATAAGACCAACAAAGCTTGATCTAATATATGCATGTATGCATTTACATCAATATATATATATATATATCATTGAAGTTACAGCAAGCAATTGCAACTATTTCACACTTGATCAGATGGGTACATGGTTTCCAAGCCAACTTCATTTTCTAGCCAAGAAAATCAGCAGATGTGGCTTGCGATAAGGTGAATCCGTGTTTTAGGTCTACATCCTGCCTGTGCAATCCGACCTACACGTAAAAATGCAGACCCTAATTAACACTTAGCCGCCTTACATCCAAAGTTAAAAATCTTGGACCTACGCAATAGTCGCCACTGGCCACGGCCCACGAGGACCCGAAGCCGTATTACGCAGGAGCCCAGCGTATGCCCAGCATAAGTGTGTTACTGTTTAGGAGCCCGTGCAGCTATGGAGTGTCTTTGGCATTGCACAGGCCCTCCCACAGGCGCTTTCGAAAGACTTGAAAGAACGGATTTATTCATTACAGTGCAGGCCAAGTTTGTGCACACGGTCTATCCCGGAACGCTTCCACCCGACACGTTATGTTGTATACTTATTTCCTATCTTTTCTTTCTTTTACTACTGTCTCTCTTTTTTGTTCGTTCATCTTTCTTCAGGTGTGGACGCTCAGAAAGTGTGCTCTTGGTTTCAACCCAAGAACAAAGCGAACAAACTAAGATTACCCCACCCTGAACCCCTCTCAAGAGAGTAGAAACTTGTGTATCCCCAATCCGCCAACCTGTAAGTCCCCATCAACCCGAAACTTTTTCCTCAACCCTCAACCTTAAACCAAGTCAAGGGAACAGAGCCATTTGAGGCCGCTGAGGGGGGTGTGCCGGCGCTGTGCGGCGGAGCCTCGCCACCAGTGAGTTTAGGGATTCTGGGGGTTTAGGGTTTAGGGTTTAGGGTTTAGGGTTTAGGGTTTATGAGGAGGGGTCGAGGGGCGGAGTTGGGAGCCACAGACCCTTCTTGCAGCAGCTAGCACCAGTCATGCCCTGTCTCCAGAAGCCACAGACTCATCGACTGCAGCTCATGCGCAGACTGAAGTCCTGTAGTCCTCGATTTGGGGGCGTGCGATATTGGGGTTGCTTGTCCCTCATTGGCGTCCTTCTTACAAGGGGATCCTACTATTTGGGGGTCTTTCGAAAACCCCTTATATACCCCAACATGCTATATGATCCTTTTAAAACAACCCTCAAAAACGGTACCCCTATTTTCGGAAACCCCATATTAGGGGTCCTCTATTATCGTACACCCCCCATATGTCCTAAGCTCTAAACTGCCAAGCCACCGAGGCTGCTGCATCTCCGACTCCCTGGATCACTGGTGCAGCGCTGGCGGAGGGCAAAGCCTTACTTCAAAAGTGAATGTTCCCAGATCTTCCAAAACCCCTTAATTAAGGCATATACCCTAATTCATAATAAGGATCCTTGTTGTGAATTAGGGTATATACCTCAATTAAGGGGTTTTGGAAGATCTGGGTTGAACTCTGGTCCCCAGAATTGAACTCAATATTTCCGAGAGTTTCTCGCAGGATCCACTTGATGTGGTCCCTGAAGTTGCTTGGGTTTAGGGTTTAGGGTTTAGGGTTTAGGGTTTAGGGTTTAGGGTTTAGGGTTTAGGGTTTAGGGTTTAGGGTTTAGGGTTTAGGGTTTAGGGTTTAGGGTTTAGGGTTTTGGGCGGGTTTAGCCCTAAACCCATCAGTGTCTGCCCCCGAGAGCACGACCCCGCTGGGATCCCACGGCTGCTTGGGCAAAGGCGTCGTACCTGCACTGCAAACTGACCCCAACGCATGTGCTTTTGCACTGAACTGGAGGTTTACGAAAATTGGGACCCCTTCATATAGACCCCAATGAGTAGGACCGGGATCCCCTTGTAATAAGGACCCCAAGAAGGCACCCCTAATCACGTAAACCCCCCCAAGTTGGTAAGGTGCTTGCACATTCTGACACAGTGCGCTGCAAATCTGACCATCCTGCGTGCAATCAGATCCTGTTTTACCTCGTGCCTTGTTAAGACTGTCTAGGGGCTGGCAGACAACGCCGCATCTGCGACGGGAAGGCTGGCAGATACACCTTGGTTGGAGGGGCGATGATGCTGTTTTGTTGCTGAATACCCTAAACCCTAAACCCGAAACTCTAAACCCTAAACCCTAGTTTAGAAACCCTAAAGCCTATATTCACCTTGAGAACATGAGGAGGGTTGGAATTGGTGCAAGGCAAGCACTTCGGAATAGCATGGGGAAGGACGCTTCTCAACTACGTGAACCTCAGCCATACAGGAGCTTTCAGCAAGAATTTGAGGCAACACCTCATGATGCGACCCGAGGCGCTCCCCCCTGTCTCCGCTACAGCCGTCACTGTTTCTGCTGGCTGCGGCTTGGCTGGCGGTCGACCGCTGGCAGTAGCAACCGCAGGAAGAGATGGCTTTGCGCTGGGGGGAGCCAGACGCTGCTCTCGAAGCCTGAGAAAGAGTGAGAGAGAGAGAGAGGGGAAGAAACAAAAAAGCAGAGAGAGAGAGGCAATCAAAAGAACAAGATGTTCCTCAGCACACTTTCAACATAGATATGACCATCAACTGGCCTTGGGCAACCTTGCCTGACAGGCATGCTTACACTTACAGCCGAGCGTCTGCTGGATTGGTGCTGCAGAGGTTGGGGACATGCCATCCCTTGACGGCAGCGGTGTTGCTCCGGCTGGCGTGCTGGCTTGTGCAGTCGGCGCGGCCAGATCCGCCGGAGGCCTTGGCATTTGGCTTGGCTTTGGGCTCCTTTCCTTGTCGATCGACGGGGCGGTGCCTTCGGAAGCCTGCGCTGCGGCACCCTGTAAGGGAGGGGAAGCCGGTGCCAGGCTGGGGGAGCGCAAGTTGCGATCGCCCACTGGCTTGGCTTCAGCGGCCACTTGGGCACCATGGGCATTCGATGCAGGGGCAGGTTCCTGGATCTGTCTGATTGTTCCATTGAGGCTGGACAAATTCCCCTGTCCCGAATTGGCCCGGGCAGGGGCCAGTGTGATTGTTGCGGCTGCTTGCGGTGCCACGGGGGATGCTGCCTTAGGCGTGCTGGCCGCTTTTGAAGCAGCATCCGGCACTGCTGCTGGGGCTGCTGTAGGAAAGCTGCCTGACTGGGCAGCCAAAGCAGCCTCAGCAAACGACTCCGAAGGAACCGGGGGGGGGGTGGTCGGGATTGGGGCGGGTTCTGCAGCTGGGGACCATTCCATCCAAGGGACGGCCACCTTTACTCCTCGCACGTTTGCAACCCGTGGCGTCGCCTCGCCATGAGCTGGGGTCTTACTGCATGCCGCGTTACGTCACATACGTCGCAAAAGTAGTTGACAAAGCACGGAGCATCATCTGCTAATTTTTAGGTGGAACCCATCTGCCCTTTGACCCTGTCTCGGCTACCCAAACGCCAAACTTGCAAACCCAGAGGCTGCGCTTCCGGATGTCTTCGCTGGAGCTTGTGTCTCACCCACAGACACGAACTTCCTGAGCCGCGGGGTTGAGGAAACTTCCAAGGGATCTTGAACACGGGAGGGGTGGAGAGCTACGACAGGTTCGGCGTTATGGAGGCAGGGGCCCGGTAAGAGTGCCTTTTTTGGTTGTGGGTGCGAGGCGCGTTTCATTCAGACCATCCGGGGTCTGTGAATGAAGGGGGGCAGTACCACATGATGCTGTTGGGGAAAATGGTCTTCACAGTGGATGATGCCTGGTGGGCTGGTGGCGTTGTATGCGTTTGAAGGTGTGGATGTTGAGGCGCGCTTGGCCACGTTGAACGACAAGCAGATGCACATTGCTTGCAGCACATGGCCTATTTTGCACGGTCTTTGCACACAAAACCTGGCCCTTGTCCCCGAACTAGACGGCAAAGTGCATCGATTAGCTAAGCCCTAAACAAACAATTCGCCATATGGTAAACCTCTTTTGTGCGAGGATGTCCCTGGACAAGCTGCTTTTGCAACAACTTCCTTTCCACTGGTGTCCCAGTGTCCTGTGTACACCTTTTCCACATGGGCAGTTCTCTAAATTAGGTTCCCGTTTTGGGTCCCTACAGTATATAGTACGGCACCCTTAGAAGAAAGGAGCCCCTAATTAAGAGAACTGGCGGCCTTCCAAAAGTCCAACTCCAACCGTTCGGCCAACCTGCCAACACCACGACATTCCAAATAAAAACCCTAAAACTACGCAAGTGGGCGCCAAAGGCCCCAAGACCAGTACCCAAGACATGCATTTTTGAGCAACCAATGGGCTGCACGGCGCGTTGGCGGCTTCAGGTCTTACACAAAAAATACAAAGTTAACTTCTGCAAGATGTTGATACCAGATTCTTTAACTTCCGAACAAAGCCAGACATTTTCAATGGAAAAGGAATGCCGGTAAATCTTCTTGCCTTGAAATTCGAGAGGCATATCCGAGTTCTCGTTTTAGGGGGCCACCTCAACATGTAGCTAGGCACCTGAAGCTTTTAAATTCATGAATATTGAAGCAAGGCCTCTAGTTCTCTTTACAGAGATTAAAAACATCTAGGTTTCTGACCGAGAAGACCTTGAGGTTGCGGTTGTTGGACCTTGAGGACCGTTGAGGAAGGTAGACAAATCCCCAGGAACGAATATTTTTTGGACCTGGCGTTTACGTGCAGATCGTGGCTGTTGGAAGAATGGTGAGTAACACAAGGTGAACAGGGGAGCAAGGGGGCGGGGGGGGGGGGGGGGGGGGGGCGTCCATGTCACATAAACATCTGCACATATCTACAAATTGAAACGTGCATATCGTACAGACAGAGTAATTACGTAATATAAAATATAATACCAAACAATAATCCAGCATATATATATATATATATATACATATACATATAAGTATGTATAGAAACGGACCCTGAGCTCTGAGCGCAAGCGCATTTTAGAGGGGCCCGCTGATATCTTCCAAGTGGCGCTGCTGGGAGGGAGTTCTCGAACTGTGTCTGAGTCCTTGGCCACGGGTGCGGTTTAGGGTTTAGGGGGTTAGGGTTTAGGGTTTAGGGTTTAGGGCTAGGCGGGGCCACAACAGACCCACGCGTTTTCGGCAGTTTAGCTCTGTTGCCCTCAGAATCCCCTGTAAATACCGATGTTTCCTGGGTTTCGCCCATCACCTCGTCCCCGCAATTTTTATCCAAAATCATCCTGCATTTTTTTGGGCATCCGTAGACTGCACTGGTATTTGTGGGGTTTTTTGCACTACTTCGCACTTTCGACGTGTCCTAAACTAAGCCCTGTCTTGCTTGCATCCGCTTCTGCCCAGCCCAATAACACGTTTGCTTCACCATAGTTAGAAGAGTGCATCCATGGCCCAACCATGATGATGTCCATAGTCTAATCCGTTCTGGGAAGAGAGTATCCATGGCCCAAGCATGATGACGTCCATGGTCTACTCTGTTCTCTGGTCTGATGAGAAGAGAGCATCCATGGCCCAAGCATGATGACGTCCATGGTCTACATGTTTTCCGCACTGCCATGGCCCAACCATGATGACGTCCATGGTCTACTCAGTTCTGGGAAGAGAGCATCCAGGGTCCAAGCATGATGACGTCCATGGTCTATTCTGCTCTGATGAGAAGAGAGCATCCATGGCCCAAGCATGATGACGTCCATGGTTTACATCGTCTGATCCATTCCGAGAAGGTTAAACCTTCTTCTGGGCAGAAATGGCTGGAAGTTCTTGCTTTTAGGCGCACTGGGGAGCAGAAAGGCGTCATTTCTCAACACTAAAGGTGGTGACCTAAGTCCTGCATCTCAGGTTTGCTGGTGGGGCCACAGTTTTGCGCGGGTCTGTTGTGGACCCGCCAGGGTTTAGGGGGTTTAGGGTTTAGGGGGTTTAGGGTTTAGGGGGTTTAGGGTTTAGGGTTTATGGTTTAGGGTGCAGAAGCGAGTCCGAGCAAGGGCTCCAATCAGTCTAGCAGCTCTTTTCCAGGGGCAGGACTTGGCGGAAGGCTTGTAGTTCCAGCCCCGGCATAGGAGTAGTCCTCAAGTGAGGGTTTAGGGTTTAGGGTCTAGGGCTTAGGGCTTAGGGTTTAAGTTTAGGGTTTAGGGTTTAGGGTTTAGGGTTTAGGGTTTAGGGTTTAGGGTTTAGGGTTTAGGGTTTAGGGTTTAGGGTTTAGGGTTTAGGGTTTAGGGTTTAGGGTTTAGGGTTTAGGGTTTGTGTTCGCACCCTGCCGTTCCTCCTGTACTTGGTATGGCCTCGAGCCAGTCAAGACACACACGACTTTTCCTGTACCCCCACAAACTTAACCTGCAATGCAATCCGCACTTCTCCAGTAAAAATGAAAAAAAGCAGCTTGGCGACAAAAGTCGATTTGAGGGGGCTCGTCTTCTTCAGAACAGACCCGCACACTGGAAGAGGTAAAGCCAAGGTGTTCACTTCCAGCAACCTTGGTGTGGATGGGGCCTAAATCCTGTATAGGATGTGGGTTTAGGTGTGGTCTGCGAATAATCGCCCAGGCCTCTGCTTCCGCGAGACCGACGGCAGCAAGGAGGAGCCAAGGAAACACAGAGCCTCCCCAAGCGTTGCAGGTCCCCGCGCATTCCCTGGTTTAGGGTTTAGTCTTTGCTTAAGTCTATAAGGCCTTGATTTCGGGATTGTGGCACCTGGGCTTTCCTGCTCGACATAGGCTCGCAGATGTGGGGCACTTTGGGGCTACCGCCTCGGTTGGGTCCAAGGAGACTTCGGCGCAAGAACCAGCAGCAAGCTGAACGAAGCGTTGCACTGTACACGACTTACCCTCCCCCCCCCACCCACCCCCCCTTCCCCCCTTCTCCCTGGCATGGATATCACCTTGCCTGACTTCATGACGGTCAGGCCCGTGGTAATGGAGAGCTGAGATAAATAGTGACAAGAGGCAGCGAGCCTAGCCCCAACGGGTACTTGAGCCCAGCTGAGCCGCACACACAGGCCGGCGAATTCAAAACAGCCAAGCGGCAACCGACAGCAGCCAGCAACAAGCAAGACCAGGCAATTCTAAGGGGCCACAAATGGGCCACAAGCAACAAGAAGCACAACAACCAACCCAACAAAACGTCAAGTGATCAAGCAAGCAGCCATGCAACCATCAACCAACCAACAACAAACATCGACAAACCAACAAACAACGACAAACAAACGACAACAACCAGCGAAACCCCGGCTTAGGGCTTGGGGTTTGAGGTTTCGGGTTCAGAAACAGGAACTAACAACCAACAACAAGCAAACAAACAGCAAACAAACAAATAATCGAGCGAGCAAACAGAAAAGAAACACAACCACACAACCAGCAAACATGCAAAACAAACAAACAAGCAAACAAACAATCAACCCTAATCCCTTTCAGCCGTTGTTTTGGCACGATTCTCGCTTCGGTTCCATGACAACCTGACTCACTCCTCTTCCTCCTCCTCGGCGGCGGCCTACACTGCGCTTGCTCTCTTCCACAGTAGCTTCTTCCCTAAACCCTAAACCCTAAACCCTAAACCCCAAACCCTAAACCCTAAACCCTAAAGTGTCGGTGACAATGGCAAGCACCAATCCCTGCAGCTTTCAACCTGTAGACCCCTCCCAGGACTCAGAGGAGAGTCTCGGCTCAAGACACTTCATACTATTTGTACTACTACTACTACTACTACTACTACTACTACTACTACTACTACTACTACTACTACTACTACTACTACTACTACTACTACTACTACTACTACTACTACTACTACTACTACTACTACTATGTCTATTACTAGTACTACGATGAAAACGATTCATATTCTGAATGCTACTCCTACGATTCATACTATTAATATGTGTATAATGCACTGATACGATTAAGGCTATTCCTACCATTCATACCATAATACGAGTAAACCTGCCCAGATCTACAGTACCCAGCAACCTGCACGGCCACAGTGTCCAGCTCGCGCTGGCCCTCCTGCATGTCAGGGCGTGGCGTCACATACAAGCTTAGTTGTCCAGTAACCTAGAGGAATTAAAGGTTAACCTTTGGGATTATAAGGGGATTCTATTACCCCAAAAAGGTTAAAGGTTACCTACTCTACTACTAGGCAAGCCGTGCTTTGAGCTTCGCCCTGTAGCTTATACAAGCTTCGCTGTTTCAGAATGCACAGGCTGGTCCATGGACTTCTGGTGGGGAAGGGTACCGAAGCAGCCCGGACGACAGCTAAAATGATAGTTGGAACTCTGGAGCTTGAGGGTTTGAAGATTGAAATAATGAAAAAGACCAACGACCTGGAGTTCGAAGGCTTGAAGCGGGAGGTTTCTCGATCTTGAAGTTCTTTCGAAGTTTGGGAGCTCGAAAGTTGAGGATTCGACAAGGTCAGGAGTTTGAGAGCGTGCATCTGGCCGGACGCAGCAGGCTTTTTGCATAATTCGGGTTCAAACAACTCCAAACGTTGGAACTGAGAAAGCTCTCAAGGCGCAGCCGCAGGGTTTTATGAAGGCCGTGTAGGGCGAAGAAAAGGTGCAAGGGCGAAAGAGGCATTTCCGCATGTGCACACGATTCTTTCTTCAGTGTCAACCTTCGAACTCTCAAACTCCAAACGTTCACATTCGGGAATCTCTCAAACCCGGAGTGGCTAAGTTCAACCATCAAACTCGTCCCGTTTCTAACTCTCGAACACGAACGGGCGTCAGAACAACATGTTCTCAAAATTTGAACCCGTAGGAACCCTAAACCCTAAACCCTAAACCCTAAACCCTAAACCCTAAACCCTAAACCCTCATTTTCGAGCTGTGAACCTTGAATGGGCTTCGAACTTCGAACTCTCACGCTCCACCCTCGCCCTCTCCCTGCTTCTTCTTCTGCTTCTTCTTCTTCTTCTTCTTTTTCTTCTTCTTCTTCTGCTGGGCATAAGGGGAGACCCCCCGCGCACCAGGCGCGCCCGAGGGTGTGTCAGGTTCGTGTGTGAGATGGGCACTGACACTTTGGCAAAACGAGGGAACAACGCCACAAAAAAAAACGAAAGGGGGGGGGGGGGGGTTTCCCCCGCTATGCTACTGAAACACAGACACGTTCGACTGGCGAGTTCCCCCTGCAGCAACCTGGGAAAAAGCATACAGGTCCCTGAATCATGTTGATGTAAGAGTCCCGCCCCGAGTTAAGCCCTCGGTGTTTCAAACTTTTGAACTCGCGAACCCGACCTCCAAACTCGAAACTTGGAAACTTTGGCTCAAAAGCTCGAATACTTAAACTTCGAGTTCGAAAGGCTCAAACTTTGAGACCCTGTCATCCCTCAACCTTCCGAGCTTCGAACTCTTCGAACTCTCAACGGCTCAACTTCGAAGGACGTCACTCGCGACCCATGCATAACTAATTGAGCCTTCAGGCACAAACACCACAGGAAATCCGTTTTGACACTCTCGGCTTAAAAATACCATTTGGGCTTCACACTCTGTGAGCCTGGAAACATGTTGGGACGTGTAGTGGTTTGGTCTCAGATGGCGCATGACTCCTTCGTGATTTGCCTGCCGCTGTTCTCATCCGGCTCTACCAGTCCCATCTCCTGGCAGGCCACAAACATACTGCAGCACTGTTCAACCTGAACCCCTGTCTGTAGACGCCTATAAACTGTAAACCTAAAACAACCTTAACCCTGAACCCCTGTCTGCAGACTCCATGACTCAATGAACTATCAACCTTAACCCTGAAGCATTCTTCCACACGGCGCTCGAAAATTCAGACGCCAACAAACGACAAGTCGACCGTACACACCCCACGCCTTGGAAAGAACCGGCTTGAAACAACCGCCAGACATCCGACAACGCGCAGTCGCCTGCAACACAGTGACCTGAACAGAAGACTTCCGGGGTCGACATGTCTGGAAAACCTCTGATGGCAGGCGCCGCCCGCTAACGCATAGTTACAAAGCCCTGAACGCCCACACGCCCACGCATGCACGCGCACGCACACGCACGTGGCAAGCACCATGCAAACGGACGCACACGGCACGCACACTCACATACTCGCACGCACACGGCGTGCACACGGCAAGCACACGCGCACAAGCGCACACGCGCGCGCTGGAAGTCTCGAACCCAACCCCCAAGTCAGCTCCTCGAGCTGCTGCAAGATGTAGCCTGAGCATCGGTAGATGATTTCGGCCAGGTAGTTCAGCTAGGCTCCAGTTCCGCAAACAACATGCAAGCCACGTCCAGGTTGGGACTGGGCTGAGGTTGCAACGTGTTGCAGATTGCAGCCCCAAGACCTTTCAAAATCACCCTAAACCCTAAACCCTAAACCCTGAACCCTAAACCCTAAACCCCTAACCCCTAAACCCTAAACCCTAAACCCTCGGAAGCTCTCCCACAAAGCTCCAACTGGGCTCGGGGCGCGCGATCTTGCCCGACGACTTGGTGAAGACGTTGGTGCAAGTGCCTTCTCTACTAACTGCGTAAGAAGCCCCGAAAACACAAAATAATCTTCTCCCTTATTAAAGGATAATATAGGGACCCCCAAAAATGAATAATATTCCCCCTTATAGGGATAACACAGGGACCCAAAAACTACATAATATTCTCCCTTATACGATAACATAGGGAATATCATGTTCTATTCTTTTCAGGTTCTTAAGCAAATAGTAGTTCTTGTGAGTGCGAGAGAGAGCTGCAGAGTGCGAGGGAAGGAGCCGGAGACTGGGATGATGATCAAAGAAAGTCAAGTGAGACTTATCCAGGGGAGCACTTCTGATGCAGGTTTAGGGTATCGGGTTTAGGGTTCATCTTCCTGCTTAAGGATGTCAACATGACCAGCTGCGGGCTAGGACCTGAACTTGTCAAGTTTAAGATCATTTAGAGCTTAGTTTTGAACTGGGGAGCGGGTGGTCGCAGGTTGTGCCGAGCAGCATTTTGTCTGGTTTCTGACGTCAGGCAATCAAAGCACTGGGCCGGAAGCAGCCGGATGCTGAAACTACGCGCCCTACGCGCCTTGCCGAAGCAAGCTAGGTGAATCCTGCGAGGCACGCCCTCCTTGGGGCGAAAGCTTCGAATTCTCCGAAACCTTAAACCCCAAACCCTTAAACACTTAAACCCTTAAACCCTTAAACCCTTAAACCCTTAAACCCTTAAACCCTTAAACCCTAAACCCCTCACTTCTTCAGCCAGATGTGTTGGTTGTCCCAGTAGATCGTGGGCTGGGCCTCCAGCTGTAAACTGCCGAAGTGCCTCAGCTCTGACTAGCCCAGACTACTGATTGCTTAAGAACACCGAAAAAATGTTCTTCCTTACTAAGGGTAATATAGGGATTCTTAATTTGCTTAAGCACACCGAAAAAATGAGATATTCTTCCTTATTCTGGGGAATATAGGGATTATCATTTTTCTTTTGGGGTTCTTAAGCAAATAGTAGCAAACGCAGGGCGCAACAAAGCTTGAGGCGGGAGGGCTCCCTCAACGGGCAGCAAAGAGCGCCTCACTGTTTGACACTTTGCATCAAGGACCCTTATCACCAGAGAGTTCGAGCCTCCTCGCATGCATTGCGAGGGCCTGGGTGTGCGAATCTCAAGCTGCATCTCTGCTGACAGCAGAGCAGCCCCCACTCCGAAGAAACCCAAAGCCCCTAAAAGCTCCTAAACAGAGAAGTTCGCCTCCACTCAAAGAACTCAATCCCTGCAAAGCTCCTCTGGGCCACCAATAGAGGTTTTCCTAGTGAAAATCAGCGACAGACAACGGGATTATAGTACCCCCCCCCCTAATATAATCCCTACTAAGGGCTGCTTGTATCATACCAACAAACAACCCTTAACAAAACCCTTTTGAAACCGGACTTGATGACTGCCAACAAAACCCTAAACCCTAAACCCTAAACCCTAGACCCATGTTCTGTTGGCCGAGGAGCGTGACGTTGCCCAATTGCAGGCCTCGGCGCGCTTGCGCTCACAACACCAGCTTCGGCAGTCGCTTCTCTAGATTCGGCCTTTTGGGGTTAGGGTTTAGGGTTTAGGGTTTAGGGATGCTTAGGGTTTAGGGTGGCTCGGTTCCGAAAATTCAGGGCAGCCAAAACGAGACCATACTTTTGAGAACTGAACACGTAGCGACAGGCAGGTTTGATGGGGAGTTGGGCCAAGGTGAGAACGTCTTGAACGGCCCACTAGGGTCGCTAGGGTTCGGGGATTAGGGTTTTAGGGTTTAGGGGTTTAGGGTTTTAGGGTTTAGGGTTTAGGGTTGATAGGTCTGGTCTTACTTCAGTGAGCTAGCGTCGGCACTGGGAGACGACAATGGTTTTGCACCCAGAACCTGGATCCTGCTTGTAAGACTTCGCAAGATTGAGTGTGCTAAGGCATGCGATGCTACTTCACCGAGTCCAAGTGCGAGTTCAGCCATGGCGATGTTGCCCTGACACTAGATACCCAACTTGCATGTTGTGACTAGACTGGCCAAAAGCTCTGGGACCGTCGAGCAATCAAATGGCGATACTCCCGCCCATTCTCTCACTGGAAAGCTGCACTGTGCTCTCACCTGACCCCTACAACCCGAAACCTTTCGAAACTGAGTTTTCTGCTGTACTTTGCCTAGGAATTTCGCTATTTAGCTGTGAAAGTCTCGGAGCAGCAGCGCAGGAAACCCTAAACCTTAAACCATCTTGAAACAATTTCTGAAAATGTCGTGCAAGCAGCTAACGGTGCTAGATGTCAGCGGAACAACGCGCGAGAGGGGCGGGTTCACGTTCCAGGAGACGTCCCAGATGACATGCTGGCCGCAAAGCTCGCCTACTCGATATCCGCCATCCTCTGCGTTCCAGCTGTAGGGCTCTCGAGTCTTCACGTTCACGGGGTTATGGGGTGGAGTAGCACAAGTACAGGTCTTGAGTCTTCTGGAGTCGGTTGGCAGGTGCTAAGGCCGAGAGGGGATGGCACTTGTGTCCCCAATTTGGCTAACATGGGATTGTGGGCTAGGGGCCCACGCAACCCTGCAAAAACGCTGCCTTTGGAAGTCGCAACAACAACCTAGGAAAATATGCAAAAACACGGTACATACCGATGAAAAACTGCTGTTGTTTCGCTATATCTGTTCAATCCGTTGTTTTGCTTTTGAACCCCTCTTGCTGCTGTTACCCTGAACCCTAAAGATCCTCAACCTAACCCCAAACCGAAAATCCGACAATCTGAGCGTTCGCATGCACCTGAAACCGAACCCTCCAGGTCCTTCATGTACCAAATGCCTTGGAGGGCATCCGTTACCTCGGGGAGCGCTGTTCCATAGTCCTCGTCTGTTTCCACCGGCACCTTTCCATGCCAGGGCTGCGAATTAGAAGTTTCGAATGTCAGCCACTGAAGCTTGCTGCAGAATGTTAAGGCGGGAACGCTAGAGGGTGCCTTGCCGTGAACAATGTCACTAGTTGACTTTCTCATTCGTTTTCTCCAGTCTCTGCCGGCAGGTGCTTGTTATCTCTCGTCTCACCCTCGCCTCATGTGTACAAACAGCTCGGTTGGCAGTGCAGGGGTCTGACCAGTGACTTGTGCCATATGTTTGTCGTTATGTTTTTGGGTTTGCGTTTCGCTAGCTCACTCACCACACCTTAGAGTTGACTTAGTCCAGCTCAACTGAGTCTGTGGGATTGATCAGTGATTATGCACTATTACACCCTAGCACCCCGTTAAAAAAGGCCCTTTAATTGAAAGGTTCATTGTGGGGATTATCGGGCCTTACACCCCAGCTTGGTAGATGTCTAGGCAATGTCTGTATGTACACCTCCAAGCTCCGCTTCTGAAGCCTTCAGTGCGCCAAACACAGCCAACACAAAGAGAAAGCAAAACAACAGCAGCCGAGGACCTTACACACATGTTCAACCAACAGTCATGTTTTAGGTTTTTTTCTGGGGGTGAGATAGATGGGGGGGGGGGGGGGTTTAGATAATAGATAGATAGTGGGGGGGGGGTGTTAGAGTAGATCGATGTAGACGGACGCCATAAACATTTTCACCGGGGGGAGGGGGTTGGATAGATACTGGGCGTTCTGACCCGCAGGGGGGGGGGGTGGGGGGGGGGGGGGGGTTAGATAGATAGATAGACGGCTCCCGTAAAATTTTAAGCCAAGTGGCGGGGGGGGGGGTCAGATAGATAGATAGATAGACAGGCTCCCGTAAAAATTTAAGCCGGGGGGGGGGGGGATAGATAGATAGATTTTACCTGACGGGTGGACCCTGGCAACCTCTATCCTCTAACCACAAATGTAATCCGATGTATCGACAGAGTTTAGGTGTTTAGGTTTAGGGTTTAGGGTTTAGGGTTTAGGGTTTAGGTTTAGTGTTTAGTTAGGGGTTAGGGGGGGGGTGGTGGGGGGGGGGGGGGGGGGGGGGTGGGGGGGGGGGGGCATGATGTAGCAAAGAGCCTGGGCCGCGGTGCGGATAGAGTCGTTGTTCGCCTCATCACCTGGGCAGCTGCTGAACCAAGGGTTTAGGGTTTAGGGTTTAGGGTTTCGGGTCTATAAGGGGGGGTGGATAGCGGATACCTGCTTGCAAGCACTTGGGAGTCCAAGCCGCTTTGGCTTTAAAGCACGGACTTGGGCTAATTGAGCTGGTGCGTGCACAAATAAAGAAACACTTCATTTAAATTTTCTTGTGCTGGGAATCAAGAGGACCTTCGAATCGACATTGGCGGGTCGGATAGCAACGCACCTAGAGAGGCGGTGGATCGGCTACGGCTCTAAAACCTACCCCTTCCGAATATGAAGGTACCCTAAACCCTAAACCCTAAACCCTGAACCCTGAACCCTAAACCCTAAACCCTGTTTTGGGGTTTAGGGTTTAGGGTTTAGGGTTTAGGGATTAGGGTTTAGGGTTTAGGGTTTGGGGCAACCTACGTCTCTTTGGAGCACGCAGCGAAGCAGCTAGCACCTTGGCAGAATGCCCCACACGCCTGCTGGGTCAGATTGCAAGCCAACTTTCCCTTTTTTTGGCTCTCCACCACTGGGGATCGCTTTAGGGTTTAGGGGTTTAGGGGCCCCAAAGCAAGTTAGCCCGAACGCAATCCAAAGCCCGACCTTGACCACCATGAAGATGAGAGCTGAGCGGCACTTGCAGTGGAGGGGCGGAAAGGCTCCCATGCGGATTGCAAGTCCGAGGCTTATAATAGGGCTTCGAGGTTCTGAGACTACACTTGCACCAGGGGTCACAACGGAGAGGGCGGTAGCGGCTTTAGGTCAGTGCATGTTCCGAGACATCTGGGAGGGTCTAAGACCTATAGGACCTGTCTGCGTGAATGGCGGGCGCGTGCTCATGCGTTGAAAGTGGTTTCAAGCTGTGCAGCTTGGCAGACTGAGGCAGCGCTCAGGTGTAACTCAGGGTGCCCACCAACCCTACTCTACTATTTCCTTAAGAACCCCCAAACAACAAAAAACAATATTCCCTGTACTACCCTTATAATGAAGGATATTTTTTTGAGGGGTTCTCAAGCAATTAGTAATACTGAGTACTGCACAAGACTAGTCTTTAAGCAGAGGACACAGGGCTTTCGGCGCGACAGAGGTTGGCACAGTGGCAACTCATCTCGGCTGCTTCTAGCAAGGGCTGTCCAACCTCCCTGAATTTAGCCCTGAACTGACTTACCTTCTCAGCGTGCACCCGAAACGCCTTGAACGTTCTAAGCATGCCTGACCCATGATCCCACGGTCGAACTTTCACACGGCCATGTGCTTAGGGATTAGGGTTTAGGGTCGCTAGGTGGCCGGAGGATTAAATTAGGATTTTTTTTGTTTTTTGCTTTAGGGTTTAGGGTTTAGGGTTTAGGTTTTAGGGTTTAGGGTTTAGGGTTTCGGTTTAGGGTTTAGGGTTTTTAGGGTTCAGGGTTTAGGGTTTAGGGTTTAGAGTTTTTTAGGGTTTAGGGTTTAGGGTTTAGGGGTTAGGGTTTTTAGGGTTCAGGGTTTAGGGTTTAGGGTTTTTTAGGGCTTAGGGTTTTTTAGGCTAATTAGGGTTTAGCGTTTAGGGTGTTTTAGGTTTTTTTTTTTTTAATGGTTTTTTAGGGTTTTTAAGGGTTTTTTAGGGTTTAGGGTTTTGTTTAGGGTTTAGGGTTTAGGGTTTAGGGTTTTTTTAAGGGTTTTTAAGGGTTTAGGGTTTAGGGTTTAGGGTTTACCAGTAGCAAGGACAAAAAACAAAAATTATTCCAAAAAAAACAAAAAATCCTAAACAAAAAATAGACCTCCTCGCTAGGACCCCATGTCCCATGACCGGCCTCGTCGCTTCTGCCCGCCATAGACCTGAAGACACGGCGGGTAGACCAAGCATCGTGGGATGCATGAGTCGGCTGGGCAAATGCACTTGTCAAGGTTAGATCCCTCACCGGGCTCACCAACTCCCCCGGCATCCCTCAAGTGGATCACGGCCCTAAACCCCTAAACCCTCAACTGCTGAAGGGTCAGTGTGGCTTGGAACATGACCTTCCGCCTCCCTATCGCCCCTGCCTTCTTGAAGGCGCCAACACCCATGCCTTTTCGGATGTAGATCTTTCTGACCTGAAATTCAGCACGTCTGTTGCATTGCTGGACGGCACTATGGGGGGGGGGGGGCACTGAAACAGGCAAAAAACGACAACAATACGAAGTTAATGGATTCGGAACCCCCCACCCCACCCCCTCGCATGGAACACGCTCTGAAGCGATCGTGCCAACCCCCCCCCCCCCTTGTCCACCCTAAGCCCTGAACCCTAAACCCGCAACCCTCAACCCTAATCCCTAAACAACCCGAGAGCCAAATTCTGAAGCATCAGCATCCGGGCCCCTGGCCATAGAGGCAGTTCTGACATAAAGCCAGTCCTGGGCACTGTCTGGGCTTAGAGGGGGCCGGTTTAGGATTTAGGGTTGGGGTTTAGGGTTGGGGGAGTTTAGGGGCTGTGGCTGCTGTGTTAAAGATTGCAACTTCCAGGGCGGAACCGCGCATTCTTTGCTGCAACCGACCTTTCTGGCAACTCCGCATGCGGCTGTTGGGCTCAACGTGTTCCCATGCAGATATCTGCATGTCCTGGTTAGTTACTGTTCGGATCGAATCCGCTTGAGTATTCTGTGGAGGCAACGACTTCGGAATTCTGCTGCTTGGTTCTAGATGACTTAGGAGTTTTTGCATTCCATTATTGAGAACTTTCCTTCGTTCGTGGGCGACATGTTCTAGACATGGAACGAACATAGTACACGGAGCACCGAACCCACACAACCTTAAAACCTAAGCCCTACAGTCCAAACCCTAAACCCTACATCCTAAACCCTAAGCCCTCGACTTGATACCTAATCTTTCAGACACCTCTAAGCATCCCTCCCAACTGGTGCCAGGTGGCCGGATCCATGGGAGGTAGCTCCTTCGCCTTGCCTCAACGCTTGGGCTTGCTTTCTAGAAACAAGCTGGAACGTTTAGGGTTTAGGGTTTAGGGTTCAGGGTGTAGGGTGTAGGGTTTAGGGTTTAGGGCTACGGTGCCATCGAATCATATCGACTGGCGCTCTGTCCCCGTACACAACGCCGACTCAGGATGCGCAAGATCGAGGGAGCTTTCCACGCGTACGGACTCAGACTTCGAATCTCCGAAACCCTAAACCCTAAACCCTAAACCATAAACCCTAAACCCTTTTGCAACAGGCTTCGCAGTTCGCCTGGATTGCCCTTAGATCCCAACCTCCTCGACTGTGTGGCGGAGGCAGGACACAAGCAGTCGCTCTCCTAAACCCTAAACCCTAAACCCTAATCCTACACGAGCCTTCAGACTCCGACCTTACATTACATCCTGAAAAGGCGAGGTGTGGGATGTGAGCCCATCTACTCGAAGCCAACATGGCCTCAAGGAAACCCTCAGAGAGGGGGTTATTGTATAAGTCTAATCAAGCACGCGACCCGACTGAGTGGTTGCTGGGCCACCTTTTGTTTTTAATGGGTTTCTACCTGCCATTCTGGGGGACTCATGCATAACAGCCAGCCAGCCTCTAGGTCTTTCTGGGCCGTGAAAGACTGAACAAGAGAGCTCGTGCCTATAGGGCCGAATAGCCCATCTTGGTGTGACGCATTGTCCACTGCATGCATCAAACTGGCTTCAAACTGGCCTCTTTCCAAGAAGGCCGTTTTAGTCGACAACTGCAACCAGGGGCTCGGAACAGTCCTTATTACAAAGGCCTTAGACAACCCAAACCCTGGGCAATACTACCATATCACAGGAGACGAAGGCCATGAACCCTAAACCCTATAAACCCTATAAACCCTAAACCCTATAAACGCTAAACCCTAAACCCTAACACCCAGCAAGTTGCTTGTCTTCACAACGTCGGCCCACTTCGGCAGCTCAAAGCGCCCCTGGCGCTTCAAGTGCTGGGAGAAGGCCTCAGCCAGGCATCGCAGGAGATTCAGGGTTTAGGGTTTAGGGTTTGGGGTTTTGTTTTTTTTGGGGGGTGTGATTTGGGTTTTGGGTTTGGGAATCAGCGGAATCACAACCCGACGGGCGAAAGAAATGGTCAACTTTCGCAATGGCCCGGATCAATGGTGGGGCTTCTGCAACTTGCTTCACGCCTGTGCAGCCTCTTGAGAAGCGCTCGATGGCCTACAAGCCCTACGATGACCACCAGTCCACGAGACAGAGCTGGATACCGGCGCAATCGGCTTCTCCACAGCTTCACAGTCTTCAGACGTCTCAGAGTGACATCAACAACAGTATGCTGCCCTTCCTCCCTACACCCTAAACCCTAAACCCTGATATCCTCAACGGCTCAGCGCATATCAACTCGTGCCTTGATAAACTTCTCGGGCTCGACATCCTTGACCGTCACTATCTTGCGCCCCTCCTGGCAGTACAGGCTGCCTTGGGGACCACATGAGCCCTAACAGGGTTTATGGTCCATATAGCTTCATAAGAATTACAGTAGGATAATAGTATAGGGTATAACTTAACAAGAATTACAGTGGTATAGGGTATATAACCCGCATATGTTAAATTTAGGGTTCATTTCGTCCCGTAGGGCTGCATCGAGTGAGGCATTTTATGTTCGGGGTCATGAGGGGTGTCGGTGGTTGTGCTGCTCAGTATGCTTAGAGGGCTTACCCTAGCAGCGAAGCACAGAGGTTCGCAAACATGACTCTACTAGACGATGAATATGTGACGCCGCGTGTTGTCACACTTATCTTTCCTCCGTCACCTTCTTTTCTACGAAGTAGGCCGGCGTGCCGAGTGCTTGGTGCTGCCGAGCCCTTCGTGGGTCTTCTGAATGATTCATTTGCGAGCGAGAACGCTGCAGTAGGGAGACATGCTTCAGTCAGTACGTCCCAAGATATGTGAAAGGCAACCTTTCCAAAAGGCATCTCTTATCTCCTAAAGCACGAAATCGAACCGCCAACCCCAAGCAACCTGCTCTTGCCCCCCAAATGCCTGGAAATACTTGTCGAAGACTTCGATCGACATCTCCACTTCTGCCCGAGGCTTGAACCCAGTGCCGCCCTAGCAAAGGCCACGGTGCTTCAATCGCCCTAAACCCTATAAAACCTAAAGCCCAAAATCAGCACATTCATTCCTATTGCAGTCTTCATTGCCTGGATAAGGACACCTGACTATTCCTGAGGCCAGGCCTTACCAGCATGCTGTTAGGCCTCATAGTCCCCATAGCCAACCCGATAAAGGGCCTTTTTCCAGGC